GAGAGAGAGAGAGAGAACTTGGATTTTCTTTGGAGTACCAAAGCACAAATGTCCAATAAATAGTGATGGGCTCTAGAATTTAGATGTCAGAATTGTATCATACTTGTCTTTGATGCATCCTTGTCAAAGCCTTCTGGAATAAATCTACCATTAAGTTAAAGGGAGAGGAGACTAAGAAATACCCAGAAAAGGCACATTTAGTGATCATTTGTTTGAAAGACAGAAGACATCAGGGGACTCTTTGAGGCTCAGAAACACTGTATCAACCCAGACTGAGCCACTTAAAAGTACAATTCTTTCAAGAGAGAGGTGTCAGTTAACTGGTTAAAGAAAACCTCAAAATGAGATGACAAGATTTTTATTATAACTCTTAGTCCATCTTAAAAACATATCTGTGGTTCCAAAACATAACTCCCAATTTGTTAGAATGGATGAAGCGCTATTACAGCATCAAAAATTCTACAAAAGATATTTTTATCCCTTGACAGGAGAGAGAGAGAGAGAGAGAGAGAGAGAGAGAGAGAGAGAGAGAGAGAGAGAGAATATCTATTGTTAAAGGCTTTACAAACTGTCCATGGGTCAAACTCCAAATTTTTGTTAATTCGGAAAACTCTCTGATAGAAATACGTATTTGCGTGTGCATGTTTTGAGGACAAAGGACTTGAGTTCCTGCTAGCTTGGGAAAAAACCCAAAGCTCCTAGTTACACCTAGAGGGTGTGGTCAGGTTTCCAGGGTCTGTTCTTACTGATATTGTAAAATAACCCTAATTTCTGCCTCTTATATGTGCCACCAGATTATTACAACTTTGAATACCAAATATAATAGCATAGTAACTTGGATTATGAAATTTATAATAAGAGAACATCTTAATTTCTTTTTTTAAGATTTATTTATTTTTATGCTTTGTGTCTGAGAATTTTGCCTGCATTTAGTTATACCAACTGCATGCAATGCCTATGGAGGCCAGAAGAGGGCATTTGATTCCCTGGAACTGGAGTTAGGTTGTTAGGCACCATGTGGGTTCTGGGAATTGAACCTGAGTCCTCTACTAGAGCAGCCAGTGTTCTTAACCAGTGAGCTATATCACTCTTGCCCTGAATTACGGAATTCTTTTGAATCTGCTTTTGACTAGGACTCCACTCCTCACCGGGCAAGCTACAACATAAATGAAGAATTGTGAGGAATTTTGGTTACAAGTAAGTAATAGATGCCTACTTTGTGTCTTGACAGTCTAGATTAATCATGTAAGTCATGAATGACTCAAGAGGTATATGACAGTATTGTATGGTGGTTAGCACACAGGTCTTAAGGTCAGGTACACATGGATTGTAATCTTGACAGTGGTACTTACATCCTGAGTACATTTTTTAAATACTCTTGTCTTCAAAGTTGGGATAGTAAGAATACTTACCTCCTAGAACTTTTGTGACAATGAGAAGAAATGATGTGCTTCATTTCTGAACTCAGGCCTTTGGTTCCTGACAGCAAAGCCAGGCAGTGTACAACAGCCTCCAGGCTTCTTTGCTACTGCTGCTTGTACTGAGAACCCAGAGAAGGGCCCTTGCTCTCTTTTACCGTGTTCTGATTATTGCCACAGGCTCAGCTATGGGCTCAAACAAGTAAAGTGGAAACAGTGTCCTGCTTCCCTGTACAGGGGAGTGGTCAGGCTACAAGAGATCCACAGTGTCCAACAAAGTCCTTCTAAAGCAGATGGCTTCATGCAGTGTCTCTGAAATGCCATGCTTTCTTAAGATTGAATTTTATCACAAACCTGTCACCCTAGATTGAGCAATTCTGGGAAACAATAGTTATGCATTTTCATCTCCCACAATGTCTTGAGCTGCTCCATACTTACATCAGTGCTTAGGGCTAAGTCCCACTTGCTTAGGACTAACCTACACAGGTACAGGGCTTGGTCCTCACCTGGTGGGCTTGCTGTAAGAGCTCCATTCTCTCCTGGAGAATCTGACAGTCATACTCTCTGCTCTTCCGCAGCATTTGCCGCCGTAACTTTTCTACCGCCGTCCTCAGCTCCTCTTGCTGTTTTTCACTTAACAGTTCACCAAACTTGATAACAGTTTCTTGCTGCAGAGCATTGTACAAAGTAGCTTCTAGCTCCTGGATTCTCTGGCAAACAGAATCAGAAAAGTCTAACTTTGGGACTGAGCACTTAGGTATGGTGTGGGGTGCACCTGTGTAGGTGGACATGAACATGGGGCCTCAGTCTCATGGGATCCTAGTGATGGGAGGAGTTCAAAGTGTCTCCATCCCAACTCCCCTCTGAGCACTCCCCTTATGAGATTCCACAAATGCCATCCGCACAATGTGCAAACTGCTCTGTGAAGGACAGTTGTTCCTTTTCTTGAGAGCCTGTTCATTTAAGCACATTTTTTTTTGTAATTTTTACAAAAACTTTATTGAGAATTTCACACATGCATACAAGATGTTCCGATCAAATACATGCCTGCTCCCTCCCCTCCAACATTCCCCCCTCTGAAGAGGCGACCCCCAAATCCTTCAAGGATTAGATACAAGCTCCCAAATACTTCCAACATCCTTGGCCTTTGGAAAAGAGCATATTGCTCACAGGCCCAAGGACATTTTGACATTTAGCCAAGAAACTGGCTACATTTCTTTGGGGCCTTTTTACCCTAACTGCCTAGCCTATGCCTACCTCTTCTTATCACATCATCCTCTGAGGGGGTTACCAAATTGCCAATAGGGAATAGGGCCACTGACCACTCTGGCTTCTTCCATGCTGAACAGGGAGGAATGGGTGAGGCAATTGGAGTACCCCTTTAGTGGGTCTATCTAAAAGACTCCCAAATTGCATAACTCTTGTCTCTAAGGGAAGAGGAAAGTCCTTGAATTATGAATAGGAGATGTGAAGGAGAAGTAAAGGTAAGAGTAATTAGCATTACAAGTTCTAGACAGGGAACTAGAAAAAAGTCAGAACAGGGCAATTTTCAAATGTTCATATGAAAGTCCACTGGAGTTTTTTGACAAAGGCTCCCCAAAGCATCCCTCTATTGGGTTCTTCTTCATTTTTCTTTTGTCTTCCAAGGCTGGACTAGTTGGCTGGGAAGAGTGACTGGACTTTCATTTGTAGAAAATTTCTGTTATAATGACTATACCTCCCTCTCTTCTCAAGTATAACTGAAAATAAGATTATTCTTTCCTACCTGAAAACCCTGTACCTATTTGAAAGCATATGTCATAATGTCCATGGTATTAGGAATAGGTGTCAGTAATAGAAAATACTTGAAATTTGAGATATGCTTCAGATATGAAATTTCACCTCTCATTTGTCCAACAATTCTTTTCAAGTGTGTGTGTGTGTGTGTGTATGTGTGTGGTGTGTGTGTGTATGTGTGTGTGTGTACATGTGTGTGCAGGTCCACAAACACAGGGATGCACAGGCATGCATGTGAATGTGGAAGCCATAAGTTGACATCAGGTGTCTTCCTCAACGAATCTCCACCATATTTTTTGAGACAGGCTTTCCCACTGACCATAGAGCTCACCAATTTGGCTAGAGCAACAGGCCACAAGCCCCAGGGATCTTCTTGCCTTGACCTCCCCAGCAATTGGATTATAGGTGTACACTTCTATACCTAGGTTTTACATGGGTGCTGGGAATTAAACTCAGAGGAGCCATCTTCCCAGAAACTGCTCTATTTTTTTTTTAATATACCAAGATTGCTTACATGTTTGAGTCCTCTGTTTGACAGATGAATTATCTACTTTCTTTAATCTCTATATGTATGGGTATGTATGTGGTGTGTGTACATGTGTGGTATGTGTATGTTTGTATGATGTGTGTAGTGTGAGTGTATGAATGGCAGTGGGTGTGGTGTGTCGGTGTGTCGGGTGTGTGCATGTGTGTACATGTGATGTGTATATGCGTGGTATGTGTGGTGTATGTATAGTGTGCATGTGTGTGGTGTGTATGTGTGTGTGCTGTGTATGCATGTGTGGTATGTTTGTGTGTCTGGTGTGTATGTGTGTGTGTGTGCACGTGTGTGCATGCATCTGATACGCACTTCAGATACAGTTGTCCAAATCTATCGTCTTATTCCCTGTAATTCTGACAGAACTGAGTAGGAATGTCCTGTGAGGCAATGCTTTCCTATCATTGGTCCTGGACAAAGCACACGTCACCTGTGAAGTTAAATACGGTTTCCCAAATGGGGACTCTTTAGTTTCTTTCAGCAGTCCAGCCTAATTGTATTTTCTGTGGGCAGGAGAGACAAGGGTAACAGGGTAGGAAAAGAGGAAAACAACTTCCTTTAAAAATTTTCTAATCAGTGACCAATTCTCATTCTCTTGTTTCCTCATTAAACAGTATCAAAATCTCTTACTCACTTTGGAGAGGGAAGACTAAGTCAGCTCTGTTAAAATCAGGGGCTCAGTATTTCACTCTTTTCCCCAAAAGTATAAAAGCATTATAAAAACCTCTGTTGCCAATTTCTTCAAATATTCTAGCTCGTTCTTAGTCTTCTGCTCGATTATTATGGATACATGTGAATGGGGTATAAGGAGTGAAGAAAGAAGAGCTCCAGTGTTAGGGGCTTTATAGAAGGAGAGGGATGGAACAGGAGCCTTAGTAAGTATGATGTTCTATGGAGGAAAGGGCACAGTCTACTTCCCACTACAACCTCGCTTGCTGTGGTTGTTATGAGCAGAAAAGCCACAGATTCCCAGGTCAGATCTACACCATACTTTTCTGCCAACTCAGGCAAGGTTTTTATTCTACAATCCTTGCTTCCCTCCTATGTAGAACATGAATAATAATATTGTCTGGGCTTTAAAGGTTATTTTGAGAAATAAATGAATTTAAAAATGTGCAGCAAACATTACTTTATTATTCTCTTACTAGAGTCCTAAATGACTATATTTGATTTAATAAAATTCCTCTTTAATCAGATTAGCATTCAATATGTCCTCCATCTATTATTTAACACCATACATTTAATTAAAAATGAATTAAAATTATCTATAAAATATAAGAATATTATAACAGCAAAGATCTTGGGATGCTTTTGTTCTAAAACCAGAAGTAGAAATCAGTAACCACAGGAATGCTGTGATGCTCAACTACATGACAAATGAAATAGGAGATCTTAGTCCCATCATTAGAGTAATGAATGCTGGGTGTACTGGATAGCTTTAGTGTCATCTTGACACACCTGGGTTGAAGGAGTTTCAATTGGGGAATTGCCCCCATTGGACGGACCTGTGGCCATGTCTGTGGGACATCTTCTTGATTACTGAGTGATTTGGGAGGGCCCAGGCCACTGTGGGTGGTGCCACCCTGGGTAGGTGGGCCTATGTTGTATAAGAAAGCAGACTGAGCAGGGGCTAGGAGAGCAAGTCAGTAAGCATCATTCCTTCATGGCCTGTGCTCCAGCTCCTGCCTCCAGGTTCCTGCCTTGAGTTCCTACCTTGGGTTCCCTGATGAACTGTGATCCGGGAGATGTAAGACAAATAAACCCTTTCCTCCCCAAGTTGGTATTGCTCAGAGTGTTTTGTCACAGAAATGAATAAACAAATGAGAACACTGGGAGTCCCCACTGCTTACTGTACCTACCATATATGCCTGGTCAAGAGCTTGCTTTCTGTAGTCTAATTCCTCCTCCAGGTAGCCTTTTATTTTGCAGAATTGTTCCTACAATAAAAGATCACATTGATAAAAGATGGGCCCATGTAGGGTGCTCTTAAAGACTTTTATGCTGATCTGAGAGTAAGGAATTAAGTATAGATTCTGACATGCTGAGTGTTAAATGATAAGTCTATGTGCATGAGTACAGTTGGATTTCTGCTATTCTTCATTCTGCAGCTAAGGTCTCAGCCAAGTATGGCATGAAAATACTAGAACAAAACATTACGTCTTCTGAATATACCTACTTTTTGCTTTCACCATCCCTTATAGAGCAAAATAACTACTTATAGAGCAATTACATCATAAATTGGAATCATAAATAATCAGATTTGAAACACACAAGAGTTTGTGTGCAGGTTCTATGCAAAGCCACTCCATTTTATGTAAGGGACTTGGACCTCTGTAGACTTTGGCATCTGCAGGGAGTCCTGGTGCTGTTACATTGAAAATGTGGAGGACAACAACTGAGTATTGTGATAGTATGTTTTTCTAGGAATGTCATGAAACGTAACACAGTAATACTGTGTAATAAACAAGTTTAACTTATTCAGATTAGTATGCACAAGGACAAACAACAATTTAAAGAGTCTGGTGATTCTGCTCACACTGCCATTTGATGAGCGCTCATTTGGCCCCTGGCGCAAAGCTGGTGTGAGCTTGGAGACGTGAATATGCTTTCCTCCCTTGTTCTCAGTTCCACAGTGCTTCTCATATCATGATCATCTTGTCATTAGTAGGTAAAACTTTGTTTTGGGGGTACAGATAGTCTCAAGTGCATGTCAATCATTTCTTCAGATACTTAACTGAAGGAGTAAGAACTTCTTCCAACCCATTGGGTTTCGTGGAAACCCATTTGTGCTCACTGAAAGGATGTAATAATCATGCTATGGGTTTTTCTGACCACCACTGGGTTCCAGTGCCCACAGCAGTACCCACTACAAGCTGACTGCCTCATCGGTAGTTGTGTATTTAAAGAGCTTTCAAGGGTGAGTTTGCACACCAACAGTTCTTGTTATAGGCTTTCACACTAGAGCTTAATTTCTTGGTAAAATATGAATTCAAAATAAGATGCCGATTTATAAACTATAAAGTGTTATAAAATATAAATTATTCTTATAATAGAGCTCCCTGATTTGATACAAATTACATGTGTTTTCACAATAATGATAATTTAAATGAAGTCTTGTTATAAAATTCTTTACCTTGCTACAAGTTAACAAGCAATTAATTCCTACATTTGGAAAGCTGTTTTTAAAACTGTGTTAAAACAAGTTAAATAAAATTTAAATGCATAGTTAAAACGTGAAATATAATCACATTTTCCACAGAAATTTTCATCTTGCAAAATGGGAACTATTCCCATTTAACAATTCTCTAGTTTTTCTTCCTCTCAATCCTTGGTAACCAGCACACTTTCTCTTCCTCTGGGTTTTAGGACTCCAGTGCCTCACATGAATGCAACAAGACAGTTTACGGTTTTGTGGCAGCTTATTTTATGAATGTCATCACAGTTCATGCGCACTATAACCTGAATTGGACACTATGGAGTCTGCTGGGAGATGAGAGTGGCACTTAGAGCTCAAGAGAGAATGAGGGGTATTTGAAAGCAAGTGAGGAGGAAGTTCTGGGCAGAAGAGATGCCATGTCTAACAGCCTACATCTAAGACTAAATTCTTTTCTTAAATAAACACAGTTTATTTTGTTTATACATTTATTCATCAGTAGATATTTTGGCTAGTCTCCCCTTTTGACTACTGTGAATGATGTGGGTGGACAGTAACTCATCCATACACTGATTTCAAGTTTTTCAGTACTGTTGTGTCATACAATAATGCACTCAATTGTGAGGCAATCCTCATGCTGCTTTCCACAGCTTCGGGATCATCTTACATTCCCAGCAGCGCCCTCCATCCTGGCTGCTCCACATTTTTGCTAACATTTGTTAAGTTTTTAATTTTTTTTTTTGACAGTAGCTATCCTAAATGGATGTGATGTAGCTTTGGGATTCTTAAAATCAGATTTACACCTACCAAGTCTGTAATCATTACTTGATAATTATTTATAAATAATTTCTGCTATAGCAGAAAAAAATCAGCCTAAAAGACAAAAAGAAAAAGAAAAAAAGAAGATACCTAATTCATTTTTTTCCAGCATTAGTTTTGGAAATAATTGCCCAAGCATGACATGTTCTTTTGGGAGATTAGAGCTGGAATTAGATGCCTCTGGGAATTTTTCTCCACAGCCTACATACAACGTGCATCAATGCCAGATAAAACTGGAAGAGGCGACTTCCACTCACTTAGTGTGTGATGTTTTCCTCTTTGACTCACCATGTCACTTTCCAGTTCAATCATTTTCTGGTGCAGGGCGGCCTCTGCTCCTTCAATCTGTTGGATCCACTAGAGGATTAAGAAGACAGGTTGACACAATTGTTTGACATTTTGTATATTCTGTGTATTGCCCACTGGAGTGCTCAGCCCTTTTCCCTTATGTCTCAGGAAGTGGGTCAAGAACTTAGGTGAAAACTTAATGCATTTTTATCTCTTGGAGTTTAGACAAAAGGCTGTCATCTTCAGTGTATCAGCAATTTAACAAATGCCTTCTGATATCTAGCACATGTCAGGCATTAGGACTGCAACAGTGAAAAAGACTGGCAAAATTTTTGCACCTGTGGGAGGATTTCTTAGAAACCGGAGTCTGAAGGAACAGTGGGGGATACATGGGGGGAAATAAGGGGGAAATGCCAAGCACAAGGAACAACATGTTCAAAAGCTCAAGGTTGGAGGGAATATAAGAAGTTAAAGGAAATTCTCAATATATGAAATGATTTCAATAAAGTGGTAAAGAATTATATTTAAGAGGAGACATTTTAAACAAATCACACGAAAAGGACATATTTCCTGTCACGCATAGTGTTTCTGGTGTGGCATTAATAATCATTCTGAATGATTTTAGTCTTTGAGTACTATGCTGTGAGCACACCATACACATGGCTTAATAGAACCAATTATTATAGTGGGGTCTATCAAGGTGAATGCCAACTTACACCTTATAGAGGGTGACTGGCCATAACAACTATGTGTGTGAGTTCTGGAGGGACCCCTTTTGGTCCTTAGTTAATTTTAGCTTTCAGTGGTTTCATTGCCTTGAAAGTTAACTTGATTTCCCTTGAATCACTAGTTTTTTTTAAAAAAAACTGTCAAATGGTGTTAATAATACTGTGAAAATTAAAGAAAGAATTTTGTGTGAGGTGGTACTCACCATATATTGCATGAATTAGTGGGCCCCATTATTGGGTTTTATTTCTCTATTGTGTGATGCATGATGTGGTACATTGAACATTCTTCATTCTAGACTCTGGAGAGACACCATGCCCAGCCACCCTAGGTTGCTGAGAACATGGTAAAAGCAAAAGGGCACATTGAGACTGCAGAGCTGTGACTCTCTCAGCTCTCTGCCCATATCCACGGCAACCTCTTCAAGCAAATTTCACTCAACAGCTACAGTTTCTTATGCACTGTTAATTTTGCTAACTCTTCTTGAATTCTGCCCATTTATCACAGAAAAAAAGATTCATTATAAAAAAATGGTGCATTTGAGGGTACTGTGAACCTCAGTCATTCAATCATGAGCTTTAGAACTATATGTTGACTCCTGCTATTATTTGTCTACCCAAAGCAAATTATTCTTTGTAAAATGAAAATAAGACACCTATAAACTGGATATGAGAAACAGTGACACATATGCAGCCTGTGGTGCTGTCCCTGGTGTGTTTTGCCTGCCTGTAAGTGCACCTGTGCATGCAATGCCCATGGAGGCCAGAAGAGGGGTCAGATCCCTGAAAACAGAGTTACAGTTATTGGCTACTGTCTAGGTGCTGGGAACCTGGTCTCTGCAAGAGCAGCCAGTGCTCTTAACCACTAAGTCATCTCTCTAGCTCCTAAGTGCTAGAATTTTAAGTATACACTTTGAATAAAGATCACACTCTCATATAGAGACTGTTATACAGATTTGCAGTCATAAGATCAATGCTGGCATTTGGAAAACCAAATGAAAAGCTCAAATAGAGGAGGTGATATTAATGTCAATTGCAAAGGTCTGCACAAACAGCAGATGCACGCATCAAGAGCCCTGTATGGCAGGCTTGTGTCTTATTCATCTGGTGCCTTATTTTCTACCATAGTGCTCAACAGAGAGCTATCACTCTGTGATATGAGATGATATGAGCAGAGTCATGCATTATATCGCCATGGCTCTGATGGACCAGCTCCTGGGTGCTCTACACAGCCCACTTTGGGGTTTCATGGAATGCTCAAGCTCCATGAAATAGTGAAGATGACGGACTCTGGCTCCAGACTAACTCAATCAACTTTGAGCTGTGTGCAGAGCACCTACCTTCTGTATGCTTCAGATTTCTTTTGTAAAGTGGGATGGTTCCATTCAAAAGAAGCGCTGTGTGAGCATTCTCTGTGCATTGGTACTCACAAAGGGCCCTAGCTGCTTGAGACTAAAGAATCTAAGAACCAAGAATCACATAAGGCTACTGCTCCTTTCTTTCACCTCTCTAGTTTACATCTTTCATAAGACCAACTTATATTTTCTTTGCAGTCCTAAATCAAGGCAATTCCACCTGGCATTAAAGAACTGCAATCCCTCTGAATTCAACCAACTGACACACTATCGCTCTAACCATTATTGCCAAATAAACACCCAGACTGCTTTACACACTGTTTTATCTTCTCCTTTGTGTCTGTCCCTGTATCACTGTAAGAGTGGCAACAGATTCATTCATTCATTTCTTCAGTAAGCAGTCACCGAGCATCTCTAGCTATGCTGCTCTGGTAGAAAAGCCAGGGGCAAAAAAGGGAGGAGGAACAAATTAGAAAGAGCTGATTTGCTCAGGGTTTCACTTAATTTTTAACAAGATTGGTATTCTTTTTAAATTAAGAAAGTGTTTTGATGAAAATATACAGTACTTTTTATTCAAACACACAGACATGACTCTCAGCTATGTGTTGAGGCTTTTCTTAATTAAAAAAGCATTTGTTTGAGGCAGGGTCTTGTTATGTAGACCAGGCTAGCCTTGAACTTTCCTCTCTGCTTTCCAAGTGCTGGGATTACAGGTGTGTACCTCGGCACCTGCCTATGGACTGATTCTTGAGACATTCTTCTTCTGTCATGTCATTTACCAGGGTTAGACACAAGGGGGCAAGCATATACCAATACTGACTTTCTCCTGACTCCTTTGGTTGGGCTTTCTGGAGGAGACTGTAGTGACAAGTCTCCTGAGGCCAAGCCACAGAATCAGTAGGGAACAATAGCTATGTGAGCACCAATGGGATGTTTGCAACAAGAGCCTCTTCAGTTTCACTACTTCTCAGCAAACCCTTTTTTTGTTGGCCTGCCGGTGTGCTAGGATAGCTTGATAACAATGCAATTCTAAAGGTTTTCCAATTTTTATGAATGATGTGTTTTGTAGGGGACTTAACATAAAAATTATGTATCCACTCAAAACTGGTACAGCCTTCGGTATGCGCTTCTCTCTTTGGGTTGGATCCCATTATTATGCATTCAATAATGCAGAGTCAGGTGGACAGGGAGGGTTCTTTACTCCCTCCGCCCTTCTCTCTGGATAGTAAAACGAACAACTGATGACTGGAAATGTCAGCTTCAGTCATTACCTTCTCTGCCAGGGACAGCACAGTGCTGGCCTGAATTATGGCCACTTGTTCTTCATTCCTTAAGTTCTGTGAGGGAGGAAAAAAAGAAAAGCAGTAAGGTGAGAGACAAAGCTCCAGACACCGGAAAGTAAGTGTGCCACCTTCACAGTATGGAGGCAAGGACCTCAGCAAACTGAATTCCTTCTTCTAACTGTTCCTCACAGAGATTCCATGCAAGGCCTAAAGCTTCCTGTGGCTGTAGACAGACTTCATTGATAACCACACTACGAGAAAACCAGAAACCAGAAGAACGAGCAGCCTTCTCATGGCAGTTCTGATGTGATTTCACTCGTTCTCTTTTCTCCTTTGATAATTTTTCAAGGGGAAAATGGTGACTTCTTCAATGTATTGGTGTATCATTCACCTAGTGTGACTATGAGTGTTCCTGCCCCTGAATTAGCAGCCTTTGGCCCTGCCTGGAAGGAACTATTAAAAAAGAAAAAGGATTATAGCCCTCTGCTTCATTTTTATGGGGCTGCCAACAACCCTAGTGTTTAGCATTCTTTGTGACTGCCTGGCTGATTAATTTTACACTGGATGCCTCTAAGCAACAGTCAGGTGGTGATTAGCTTTAATCACTGCAGATGGGGTAGGCATTCAAACCTAAAACCTTTCCATGAAAAGCCTTTCTGCTGCACCTCATTTCTGCAGCTACCTTCTAGAGCTCCCCAAGGCCGCTCTACCAGGTTGTTCACGAAATGGCAGATTCTCTTCAGGGAGGTACATGCTTAAGCACTATGGGGTCTCACCTGTTAGTATTTTATACGGGACATACTGAGAAGCATTTCTTACCTCTGTTTAGGCCATCTCACATCTTTCACATACATAGTCAATATATTGCTTACCCCATTATCACCCAGGATATCCAGCTGCTTTATAAGATCAGGGATGTTGACATCCTGCAAAACCAAGGAGATGCATTGAAGGCAGATGCAAATGTGGCTAGAACGGAGCCCATAGTTAGAGAAGGCATTTAGGCACACATCTTTCCCTTCTCTGTTTTCAGTCGGGTACATCTGGTTCTAAGTTGCCACTCTGCTTCTGATGAGCTGTGAGCACTTGGAACGCCACTGAACAGTTCATTTTCAGTTTTCTCAGTTACGAAATGGAGATGATAAATACCTTCTGTGTGGGGTCATGAAGGTGTTTGTGTGTGTCTAGCATGAGGTGAGGACTTGGACTATGGCCACTCTTTCCTTGGAATGGCTAACTTTCAACTTTTGGCCCAATTTTCAAAATTTCAGGTACGAAGGAGAGTAATATGAAAGTCATTTATTCTAATTGGAAGAATTCGGTCTGGTCGAATGTTGATTATCATGTAGAAAGCTCTAGTGTGGTTCTTTTACAATGGTCAGCATTATTTTCATCTAATGGGAAACAGGTTAATTTTGCTCCAATCCTTGACTGTGTGTAAAGCAATTGGACTACATTTGAAACAGTTCTCTTGAGTATAAGCTGCACCCATTGGAGTAGGGTTTTTCTGGTGATTCATCTAAGAAAAGAGCAATCCAGGAAAAGATATAGACAACTGCTTTTCAGTCAATTGAAAGTGAATCAGAAACTTGCTATGATTTAAACATTTTCATGAAGCCAAGGAACTTTAGAAGCTTAAAGGCTGACATGACTTAGCATGGAAGAAAAGAAAGCAAACGTTACTGTCTAATTTCTTTCCCACCTTTTTAGCTAATTAGCTCCCAGCCCCCTCTCTTGCTTATGTTCAAACAGCAGCACTACCATGGGGAAGGGGAAGGGAAGGCCTGGCTCCTTATCAAGGGCAGCGAGCAGGCAACTGATGCACGTATACTGCGCAGATTAGGGTGGAGGCAGGAAGAGCCAAGCAGAAGGCAAAAGGATCTTCCAGAAATAGCGGTAGGCACTCCAGATCTACCCAGGAGGAAATCACCTTGATGCCTTTCATTACACTGGAGGGAAATACATTTTCTGGGGAACAGAGACATTTCCACTCAACCTTAATATTTAAAATGTATTCCACTTGCACTAAAGAAAGAATTACATTTTATCTAGTAAACAGCATGTTCATTATAAACCCTAAGCCCTTCCTAAAGGGAAAAAAAAAATCCTCCCTAAATTAAATCCATCATAAAAGACAGTGAACACGAGGACTTCAAAGATCTCCTCTGGCTCAAAATTCCCATGTAGTAAATTTCACTGTGTCTAGAAACTCACAATAAGAAGATTCAGAATATGTTTTATCTGGTGACTTGAAATACATTTGTTGAAGTACTGAGATTTTTCATATTTCTCTTAGATAATTAATGCTAATTATTTTAGTACATATATTGATCCCATTCTGTTTTTTAAAAATGACTCTGATCTAAGTAATCACAGCTGTCTTTGTTCTTTGCTTTTACCTTTTATGCATCTGTCACACATTTATTTTATGTTGTATTGACTTTCCAATAGATGTGACTATTTTCATTTTCTACATGGCTTAAATCAAAATGAGATGTAGGGACTGAAAGACAGAGCAGTCACAAGCAACCTTCCCTTTTCCAATTCCCAGATTTTCAAATATCCACATATATGGAAGATCACAGTCTACCTACCTTGACACCTTCTTTCATACAGTAGATCTGTAGGGCACTCACGCCATCTGAGAAGGGGTGAATCTGCAGATTAAATGGAGGGGATCGCCTCTCTCTCTCCTTGGAATACAGGGAAAAATATATGAAAAGAAATAAAAGAAGCAACAACTGAGTAAATGCTAAATCAATTATCTCTCTACAAGGTTTTAGTAGTTAATCAATATGTCATTTGGCCAAAAAACAAATGAAACAAACAGCAAAAACAAAATTCAAGATGTACATTGTTAAACTGAATGTAAAATAATTAACCAGTCAACTCAGACTATTACACATGGTAGAAAATTTATAAATGGTGTCATCTATCCTTGAAAAATTTTTGATCAGGGACAAGTGTGGAATGGAGTTGCAGTTTAAACAGCAGAAATATGTAGGTCCTTCAGACAGCACACAGTGGTCTCAGCATGAAGACTGATAAATAGCCTTCTGCACGTTTAATCCATTCAGTCTTTATGAGCAAGATATACAGGTTGCAAAGATGAAGTCTTCTTCACCAAAGCATGCCAATTACTAACTTCTCCCCCAGACCTAATCTGAAATAACTTCAAGAGAAAAATATCACTTGCAAAATAACAGAAAATTTGAAGAGGAATTTTGCTTATATGCTCTTTTTTTAAAACAAAACAAAACAAAACAAAACAGGATTTCCCAGTAGCCCCATCCGGCTTGGAACTTGCTCCGTAGAGCAGGCTGGCCTCCATCTCACAGTGATTCACCAACATCTGTCCCAAGTGGGGTGCTGGGGTTAAAAGTGTGCACCACCACACCTGGTTTGGCTTATGTTCTTGGCTGTCACACAGGCATTCAACAAGACTTGTGGGACACTATGGAAATATGGTATGATATGTTTTCTTTAAAGAAACAATACCCCAAATAAGCACCTGAAATTAATCTAGGCTACTTCTTAAATTATTTTTGTTTCTTATTTAGCTTTCTTTTGCACCATTATGGAATAAAAAGTTAATAACAAATTCAAACTTAACTTTAAAATCCTGTATAAGAAATAATGGCTCAATGAGGAAATGTCAGTGGAAGATAAACACTATTTAAAATATTTTATTTTTATTTTTGTTTTATTTTATGTGTATGAGTATATTGCCTGCATGTATGTAACTGGACCTGTGTTGTGCAATTCGTACTGAGGTCAGAAGATGGCATCATATCCCCTAGAACTGGAGTTACAGATGGTTGTTAGCCCTTGTGTGAGTGTTGGGAACAAAACCTGGGTCCTCTGCAAGAGCAGCTAATGCTCTTAACTGCTGAGCCATCTCTCCAGCCCTGATGGATATTATTGAAAAACAATGAAATAATGATGAGGTTTGAATTTACTATTTAAGTTATTTAAAAAAGCATTTACCCAACTTGTCTGAAAGGCACAGTTTCTGAGTGCATAGTTCTAACTTTCCTCAAGGTTTTATCACATACATGTCATGTGACCAGGGCAAGGTTTTTAAGTCATTTAGTATCAATTGTCAGTTACAAAAATCTTGAGCTAATTGTGAGGTCCAAATGAGAACATGACCTGCAGTGCCTAATTCAGGTGTGGACCCCAGTGAGCAGGGCATGTTGTGATTGCTTTCATTCCCATCACCATTGCCTTACTTCCAGCTCTAGATTTCGAAACTCCAGCAGCTCATTCTGGTCTCGAGCATCCTGTAGTTCCTGTTGTAGCCGGTGATTTTCTGCTTCCTGTTTCTCTATCTAATAAAGTAAAGCCTGACGTTAGGTGAGCACAGGAAAGAACAACTGAAAAGAAAGCATGAAGACCATCCATTTACTCGACAAGTAAGATCATCTCTAGACCATCAAAATCACCCCAAAGGAGATGTGGGTAAAGTGAGTATTTGTCTCTCCTTGTAGCTGTCTTTCAGTTAAGTTTTGCAAGGCCTGGAGACAAATGCCTGAAAGCACCAGCTTCTGAGGTTGAAGCAGGGCTCCTGTGGACAATGAATTTGGAAGACTCACATGCCCTCTGGTGATCACAGGATGTGCTAGAAAGTGGTTTCCGTGTTTAGGAGGGAGACTGACACTCTCATAGGTCACAGGAATACATTTTTTACTGTTAATTAACAATTTATAATTGCACAAATCTATGGGAATATAATCAAATAAAGTCATTTAACATGCCCTACACCTTAGACACTTCACAGTTTTTGGGGGGTGATGAAATTTCACATGTACTTTTGCAAGAATTCTGAAATGTGAAGCAGTTGTTTTAAACAGCTCTCATCATCTACAAAACTTTAAGAATTTCATTTACTGAGTAAAATGAAGCCAAACTCCATAATAAGGAATTCAAAGCCTTAGTAATCTAGTCACCACCTGATTATTCAATATTGAATGTTATCAGTGTCATCTCAGCACACACATATGAGATCATGTAGATACCCCCCCCCATACACACAGAGGAGTATAGCAGCCCGGATGCACCTATGTCCCAGGATCTTTCTCTGTCCTCATCTCTACCTGAAAAGCACTCCCCTATCTCTTTTTCTACGGAGAAAATCTTACACTTCCTTGAATGCCAAACTTTAAGGTCTATATGAGCCTTCTCTAGTCCACCCATTCAGAAACCACCCCTTTCTTCTGTTTGCCTATAAGACTGGTTTTGCTGTTATTGTTTTTTTCTAAGACAGGGTCTCCCTATGTTGCCCAGGCTAGCCTCAAACTCCTGGGCTCCAGTGATCCTCCTGTCTCAGTAAGCCAAGTAATCAGGACTTTAGGTGCACGGCACCCCACTATTCTCCTTTTAGACCCTCTCACAGGTCCTCCTGCACAATCTGGTGACATATGGAGTCAAGTCAGTTGTGTGCAAGGTCTTCTCCCTGCAGACGGGGCCCATGTCTGGGACATTCTTGGCTTTTAGGGATCCAATAATTTTTATGAACTGTTTCCTTTGTCATTAACCATGTGGGGAGTCAATATGCAGTGATTGTTTAGAAGCTTCAATTTAGAAATTTAAACAAAGGAGCTTTAGTCATAGGATGAATTTTACTTTCCCAAATATATGACTTAAAGTAAAATATTTAGATGTTTTAATCACTTCTGTTTTTCACTTATTCTTAGAAGATATAGCTCTAGCATTTCTCTTTTGTCCCAAAGAAATAGATTCCTGGACTAACGAAATCATATAGAAGACATACTGGGAATCTGTTCTATAATAAAGGAAAAGTGCAATGCATCATTGGATTCCTTGTAGATTAATAGAAAAATATCAGTCAGTAGTGAGAAACTGTGTCATTTATTAATATAATTAATAAGGTTTTTTACACCAGAGACATTTTAAAAAGATTTTACTTTTTATTTATGTGTATGTGTGATTTTTATGCACATGGGTATAGGTATCCATGGAGCCCAGAGGAGGATGTTGGATCCCCTGGAGCTGGAGTTACAGGTGGATGTGAGCAGCCTCAGGCCCTCTGGAAGAGCAGCAAGCACTTTTAAACACTGGGCTATCACCTCAGACTCTTACCACAGATATCTGTAGCCTATTGAGATTTCAGAATTTTTTATAAGTAGACTCAGATTGTAAAGGAGGTTATTCTTCTTAGCATTTTGTACCGGACTCTGTGTTGGAATACAGGGAAACTGCTGGTTCTGGTACTTACTGATACAGTGAGATCACTTGTTCACACCTTTCAATTCATAGTTTAAGACCAAAGCAAAATCTTCTTTGGCTCTTCTCTCTATCTCTCTCCCTTTCTTTTTCTCTCTGTTTCCCCTATGTGTTTCTTTCCTTCTCCATTTTTTCTCTCTATGTTTCTTTTGTATGGGGATTGAACATAGTAGGGTTTCATGCATGCAATACAAGTGCTCTACAACTAAGTTATAGCCCCAGCCTTCTTTGTACTTTTTATTTTGAAACAGTCTCACTCAGTTACCCAGGCTAGTCTTGAACTCACTGTTTGTGGTCCTGAACTTATGATTCTCCTGCTTTAGCATCTTGAGTAGCTAGAGTTACAGACCTGTAGTACTAGGCCCAGCTAAAAAAAAAATTATTTATAGAAAACTTGATCTTTGTTAGAGACCAGTTCTGAATTTTGGATACATGTCCACCTCTACACCTCAGTCCTGCCTTATACTATCCAGAGATTGCTAGGATGTATTAACCTTGCCAGACTAGAGGGGAGGAAGACAATCCTGTGTTTCTTCCTTTCTATGCTGATCAGGGCATTGTAGTTCATTTTTACCACTTGTCAAGATAGAAAATACTGGTGGGAATAATCCTAATGTAATTTTTACATAAAATTTGAACTGACCTACAGAATTATTTCCTTTATTCAAATGGTCTTTAAAGTCTGTTTCTGTTAAGAATAAATTATTTTTTAATAATTCATTAGATTGTAGAAGGAACATACCAAAGGAAAAGCTACCTTAATCTTGAAATGTTCTATTAATCAAAATTTTAATGTTCTGTTAATCAAATGTTTTATTAATCAAATCAAAAGCCTATGGTTAATCATATATACTGGGCATAAATGTGTCTTGGTGTGTTTACTAATTTCTTGGACATGCTGTGTTTTACTTTGGATGCATCTAAAAATAATTCCCTTGCTTAAAAAAGAAAAGAAATAGCCAAGCTTAGCAAACATGTCTCAAAGTGAGAATATATTTTGTGCAAGTTGCAGCATAGTTATATTCTGGCACTTCCTTAAACAAAATAGTACGTGTAGCAGGGTCTTTTCTTTTTTTGCAGGTGAACAACCACACAGATATGTGCATATATATACACATACAGTATATATACAGTACATATAATATGGCTAACAAATCGGTGGGGAGCAGGGGTTACAACCTCACAAGTCTGCACACAACGTGGAGCGCAGAGCCATGCACACGTGCCACTTAACTGATGGTGATGGCAGTGACGGGATGTAGTCGAGCACGCAGCAGAGGACAGAGCAGCGGTAGGAAAGCCTCCCCTTCCCTGGCCCCTGTGCCACTCCTGAGAGCACCCCCTGCTGCTCCTGGATCATCATTTTCTCCTCTGCCCCACTAGGGTGGTGCGCCCAACATACCTTTTCTAAAAGCTCCTGGTTTCTCTTAATGAAAAGTTGTTTATCTTCTACCCAGTGTGAATCCTGTTTGACAAAGAATATCGCGCAGTCAGCATTTCAGAGTGCCACGAAAGAGTTTGTGTCCTCACACCACTTATCCAGAGCCATATTCTTTCTACCCGATTTGTTTGCCTGCACAGAGTAACTGGTTCTGGTGAATGACACCCACCCCTGTCAGCTATTTCTTCAAAGGTTCTGGGGCCAAAGTTGCCAAGAAAATTTAACCCCTTTCCCATCATCACTTACTATGCCTATCTTTTGCAGTCTGAATAATCCAGGACCAGCCTTCTGGGGACTCAGAAGTGACCACACAGGCAAAAAGTGAAAAGGGTCAGAATGCACACAGGCTCGAATACATATGAATGGAAAACATTAAAATGCAGAACCATAAATGTAGCATAGAGGCAGAGAATGCAGCCGGGGAGGGGTGGGACTGCGTTAGCAGTTTGTGACAACTCTAGGCTATTTGGACCAGGCTCTTCTTCCTCTGGCCTTCTCTCTCTTGCCCAACTTCATCCACCGCTGTGGCTGGGTTTGCACTCTGGGAGAATAACACCAGGGATAGAAGTGGTTTACATTCTGACACAGTTTGAGAGAGGGTACTATGGCAAGCCAAGTCATGTCCTGGGTGTGGTCCATGCATGGGGCGACCCAGAGAAAAGTGAGACGGGACCAGCAGAAGAGCTAGCAGCCAGGTGCCTACCTGGCCTTTCTGAGCCAGTGTTGCCTCCAGATCTTCAATTTTGGCTTTATACCTTAGCACTTCTGCTTGGAGCTGTTCTTGAGCCTGGTGAGATCAAAATTCCAGAATTCAACCAGAAAAATAGTCCTTCAGCATGTTTCTTTTTCTCATGTTCCTTTACTTGTACTCAACAAGTGGGAGACAGAAGAAAAAAGAATTTTCTAGGATACAAGTATCTTTCTAAACTGCCTTCATGATCGAACAATACCTAAATTCTTGCACTCAGATCCTTGTGGTCCTATATCAGACTAATATTCACGTTCTTTAGTTGGCTGTTCAGGGATCCCCTCAGGTTTGCAGAACTGTGACCAATCACCTGGAGCTCACCCCTTCCTGGGGTCACAGCCACGTGTCCTGAATCCTCCCTGGCAATTCCCCACTGCTCTCTCTACTTCAGTGAACTCCTTTTCTGGAAAACTTGTCTTATTTTGCCTCTCCAAATGTTATCCTTTGTTTCAGAGCCAATCTTGTGCTCAGTACCTAAATCTAAACAGAAAACTTATTACTGTAATTCCTATTCCTCGAGCAGTAAGAATGCTTAGTAAACACCGACAGTGAAAAATCACCAGTATTAAGATTTTTGAGGCAAACACATCAGCATAGAAAATCTTTTTCTGATGGTGTCTTGTTTGTCTATTGTGAATTAGAATTTTATTTTTAAATGTATTTACTCACTTATGCATCTACATGTGTGTCTAAGCTACTACTTAAAACTATCTGCCTTTACCTTCCAAACAGCTAATAGCTATAGCACTACCCAGTATGGTGTTATCCCTTCAGAAAGAAAGTATGATAAAATCACTGGACAGCCATGTTCCTTCCTGGTTCTTACAAAAGTGCATAAGGTGCATTATGATGGTGGTTTTGACTCTGTAGTTAGAAGGCGGCATTCCTGGCTTAGCTTTAGGGCCTCAGGTAAACAATTCAAGTTCATTAAGCATTTTAAACTTGTAAGTTTGTTTTTTCTTCTATAATTAAAAAAAATTTGAGGTCTATATAGGATGGCTTGGCATTCTTAACATAACACCTGGAGTACAGCAAATGTTAAATTTAAATATAAAAATAAATAAATTCCTCTTCCTTTTTTTCTCCCTTCCTTCCTTCCTTCCTTCCTTCCTTCCTTCCTTCCTTCCTTCCTTCCTTCCTTCTTTCCTTCATTCCTTGTTTGCGACATAACTTCCGCTTATGAGTGACAGTTATGATGTGCTAGAAAGAATACTTGATCCAGCAAGATTTGAGCTAGAATCTCTGACCACTTGCTTTCTAGCTGAATGACCTTGGGAAAGTCAATTTCTCTGAGTCTTAGTAATTAAAAAATAAAAGAAGAAAAATTTCTCTGAGTCTTAAATTCTTCTTTTATGGCATATCTGCCTTATGGGGCCATCACAAGAATTCAAAGAGATATAGTCTGTGAAGATTCTGGTGAGCTGTAAACACAGCATGGTGCATTCATTAACTAAGAAAAGAAACCAGCTAATTACTTTTGAAAAAAAATCTTATAAACAAGGAAATAAAAAGAGAACTAGATTATCAAAATTCAATATGTAGCTTTGAAAATATAAGTTTTCAAACAATAAGAACTATGCACTTGACTATCTTTACATGAACAAAAGCATTGATCTAGGCTGGGTCTGCAATTTATTAGCATGAAATATAAAACAATTCCAGTGCCCCAGAGGAGAAAAGGGCACAGAGAAAGCTGTTCTACTGACATTTTTATGTCTTCAGGAATTTTATGCGGAACCTCTGTAAGTTAATTTGAAGCTCTCTTTCAGACACACACTCACCTTGACCTCTCGTTCAGCATCTATGATGCCTCCAGTCTGCTCCTGCAGGAGGGCATATGCTCTTTGGAGGGCTTGGTATTCTTTTGTTAACTGTCGAAATCGAAGCTCAGATTCTTCAGCTGCTAGACTCTTGGGGTGTGAAAAAAAAGTCCCCAAATAATTATGCTATGTTCCTGTCCTCTCTGTTTTTGAAAAGATGTTTAATCTGACATTCTATTATATTTTATCTTTAATTCTAAATTACCTATAAGGTCATACATACAAAATATGTTCAAGGTAGATATTGAAGAAATATGTAAGCAATTATTTTAATAAAAGAAGCAGTTACTTTTTTATACATTTTGGATTAGTTCCCATTTGACCTTGATATCACACAATTTAGATACAAATAAGAAGTCATGTTCAGATTTGGGATCTAAACTTGAGGCAAGGTTACTTAAAGCTTTACATTCATTTCCTTCAGTGCATTCTGATTATATACTATTAGATATTATTCAACCCAAACAAATTATAAAAAGCTTATTTTCAGTTTCAGGGCATAATGCAGTCATCACAAGGGAACTTTGTTAAAAATGTGAATCAAAGGTTAGAAATATAGCTCAGCTGGTAAGGGACTTGCCATCATGCATTAAGATCTGGGCTCGGTCTCTAGTAATACTTAAACCAGAAGTAGTGGAGCACACTGGTAGTCTCAGAATTTGGGAAGTAGAGGCAAAAGGATCAGAAGTTTAAGATCGTCTTCAGGTATATAAGGAGTTTGAGAACAGCCTGGCCTATATGAGCCCCTGTCTCCAAACAAAATCCAAATGTGTATTGAGGGGTTTCACTCCTCTGATCCTGAATCAAGAGTTGTGTTCATTGCAAGCCCCACCCCCACCACCCAGATCTTCAAATGAATGCAGGCTATGGAGCACACTTTGCTAAGCAGTGCCTTAGACTGAATCTAGAAACCTCCCAAGTTTGCTCTTTGGTTCACACCTTCCCAAGATGAAGTACTTTGGAGAGTCACTTTTATTTTGAAAGAAGCAATCAAGTTATATAGCTGAACTGCAGAAAAGTTTCTAGAAGGATTACATAACATAAATAATCCTTATTTTCAAGAGTCAAAGTCAAGTGTGGTCTCAAGATTAGTCACTGTGATAATATCTCTTTGTGGTTTTCCTCCACCTCAAAGGGAAGATTTGGTGACAATATCCTCCAAGATGAGAGGAAAGGAAATGCTTACTTCATCCAAGTCATCATCAGGAGTTGCAGGTGTCCGGTCTGTTCTAAAGGAAGCCATGGATGATGTCTCTGAATCCATAGAGTCCTCATCATAGCCAATGAATGGGTCTAAAACAGGCCTCTAAATGGGGGGAAAGCGCTCACTTAATAATACAATAAAAGTGTGAGACACTGACATATTAAAACTCCCTTAAACAACAGAGATATAAAGGAGCACAGAGGTCATGCCATCTTTAGTGTTTCTTTGATGTAATAAAAACATTAGGCATAACTATAATGCCCATTTTGTTTCATTTCTGACTCTTTCAAAGGAAATTAATGAATATTTGGCTGTCTCCCAAACACCATCACAATCAATCTATCCACGTTACATTTTATGTCATGATGAGTTAAAGTAGTTTACTCTGTTTAGTATTTCAAAGGTACTTAAGGGACGTTTGAAACCCAGGTATCCGTGTGAAACCCAGGCATCCATATGAAAGAGGTCATTAGAGCTTAATTTTGGCCATTCAACCCCACATCCAAATCAAGTGACAAACTTGGTAAAAAATTAAACACAGAAATCAGGCAAACAGACTTGAGAATCTTATGGACTATTGAGGCTATAAAGATATTGGCAAATTGAGAGTGTCATTAATAATATTGCCCAGGTGAATAATGTAAACATATTAATCAATTAGAGGATAGGCCTCAGAAGTTAATGTCATTCATCAGAAGACATTAATCGTGTGTGTCTCTTTTTCTTGGAATATAACTTACCAAATTATCTGAAAAACCTTTTGACATAAAAACCAGTGGCTTCTCTATTCAGAGTAAGTCCTATCAAAGCCAAGCCTTTCAGGCTAAAATAAAACAACAGCCATTTTCAGACTCAGAAATGCCAAGAGAAGAGATTTTCTTCTAGTAAATGGAGATCATGGTTTGCTGCCTTTCAACTTACTGCATTTCTGTAGGAAGGTCCCTTTCTTGGCTATTTGTGGAAAATGCCTGAAAATCTGCTTTTCTTATTACCTTAATTGGCTTGGAACTTCTTCTGTGCTTTCTCCTACGGATGAGCTTTTCTCGGTCCTAGAAAACAGATAAGAACTTTTTAGATATAGAGTTGCCACACAATTCCCTACAGTTTTGTTTGTCTTCTGCCATGGAGGACAGAAGAGGGTTTCTGATCCCCCTGAGCTAGAGTTACAGGTGGTTGTGAACATCCTGAAGAGAGAGCTGGGAACTGAACTCTGGTCCTCTGGAAGAGCTGGAAGTGCTATTAACTGTTGAGCTGTCTTTTTCTAGGCTCTTGTTTTGATTTTCAAAGACAGAATTGTTTTTCTCTTAGGGAATTATATATTTTTACCTAAATAGGATTTTATTTTATAAAATTTGGTAACTTTTGGCTATAATACACAAATATTTCCTGAGTATGCATATTATATTTTCTGGCATGTAAGTGGTTTTAAGAGCTTCATGCCCAGAAATCACTGTGTTCCTTCATTTTATACTAGAAAACCAAGTAGCACTCAAAACATCTAGATTCCCAGAAAACACAACTGTTGCTTTCCAGCACCCTAAATTATTCTGAATTTGTGTTGAGAAAATATTTCAAAATAAAGCATACATCTACTCTTTCCAATTTGTCATTTTTAAGGCATAGACAAATATATATTGACTGTTTTTGGAACATCACTTGGAGTCTGCAACTTTTGAGGATGAGACAGGAAGCAGAGGGTCTACTTGGTTGAAGTCACCTAGTTTTCTTTCTATTTTATTTTGAGAGAAATGGGTGTGATTTTCTGAGGAACTCAAGGAATATCTACAATAGTGATCAACTTCTTGACTCATTCTTTCTGTGACTGTAGATTCTGGGGGGACCTGGAATTTACTTAGTAAGTACTCCATGGTTTTTTTTTTTTTTTCAAGTTTATTATTTTTATTTTATGTATATGAGTGTATTGCCTGCAATGCCCGAGGAGGCCAGAAGAGGGCATTGGATTGCCTGGAACTGGAGTTATAGACCATTGCTACCCAGGTCCTCTGCAAGTACAACCAGTGCTCTCAATTGCTGAGTCATCTCTCTAGCTCCAACTACTCCATATTTTGACTGCAAATTTAAGCTAGATGGAACTCACTGATGATCCGGAAACTTACAGCTTAATCTCAGCATGGTCAAAGCCAAGTATATGTCTATACTAGTGAATATGTGAGTTTTATGAACTATCAAGATGTGACATGAGTGACCCAGGCTTCACACTATATTTGAAAAGTAATATGATTTCAAACACTTGAATTTAGGCTTTTTTATCTTTTACATATAAACATAAAAATATTTTTATCATGCAACCTCAATGTAATTGATACTTTAAAAATATATACATTATGTGTTTAGATTATCCTCTTATTCTAATGGCTATACATTATAGCATATACCCAACATAGACAGCTTTTAAAGGGTGAACAAATAATTAAAAACAGAAACTAGAATTTTAATCTCAGTGGCAATAAATCATCTTGCTCACTCTACTCTGGAGACTACTAGCTAAAAGCCCTCCTGCCCCTTATCACTAGTTCAAGTCTGCAGGCCTTAGATTGTTCCTGAACTAAAAGGCAGCAAAGATATAATTTTCAGAATAAAGGCAGAAAGGTACAGAAGAAAGCCTAAAGACCATTAGAGGTCTCATTCTATTGTACTGCTAACAGGGACTTTAACCATCTGGCGTGCAAATGGGGCAGACGTATTTATCAATCAGAAAATGAAGACTGGAATTCTTGCTTTGTTAATTATGATGCTTCTGGTTACTCATGAACCCTTTATCAAATTGTATCTATGCCCTAGACGCTGACTAGGGGTTGGAAAGAAGAAGTCTATGGTACTGATACTGTAAGGGAAATAGTTAATTTCTGAGCCTCAGATGATGCTGAAAGGCAATTACAAGATATGTCTGCCTACCCTGGGTACTTAGGTAACAATGCACCTGAAAGTTCCTTTAATGCAGCTTGTAGTCATTATTTGTGCTTCCAAACTAGTTGACAAATGGTTATAATTAGTAGGTATAAAGCAGTTTAATAATGTAAAATACTTTTGGAATAGAATTTCTTGTATGTAATTACAGACTGAGATTATAAATATGGGCTTTAGGGTACACAATTTTCAAGTGTTTCTGGTATGTGTTGGTTTGTTGGCTACCTGTCCTTGTGAGTAGCTCAGAGTTACAGATGGATTCACCTACCCTTGTGAGCTCATCAATGATGTTCTGTTGCTCGATGACCTGAAGTTTCAAAAACTCTGTTTCTTGTTCTTCATTAGCTTGATCAAGGTCATTTAGAGATTTCAATTTCTTCAAGGGTGGGTGAGATGTTATTTTTTCTCTCTAGATTGGAAAAGCAGAAAGTAAGGGAGAAACTTAAAAAAATACAAAACTTTAGTCATTATTATATCTTTAGAGACAAGGCTTCAGCTAGCTTTGAATATTGTCCCACTGGGTTGTACACTTTTGCAGATACTAAATAAAACCTTCAAGTACATTATATCTCTTAGACTATGTTAAAGTTCTCGGGGGTGTTCTGGAGATTTCTACAGCTATTTTGAAGTCTTTTCCATAGTATACTAACATATCTGCTAGCCATACAAAATACAAATGGTGATATTGATTTCCCAACTGTTATATAAGTCCTCAGAAGGCAGGCATGACCTCTCTGTACAGAGCTATAAAAAATGCTAATAAAGTTTTGGAAGGAAGTTTCTGCAGCTAAAGAGCCACACAAAGGATTTGTTTCTCTGTTTCCAAACTTTTGAAGAATGTATGGGTGCCTGGAAACATTCCTCCAGTTCTGCAAATTTAGAAGCCCCATAAAATTCAGAGGCAGAACCTTCTCTTGCTTTCTTCCTTAAAGTTTCCTTGCTTACTTAAGGGAAAATCCAAACATCATATTAGATACAACCTCAGAAAAAACAGTAAGTCAGGTTATTGGAGTAACGAAAAAGGAAGCTACAGTTTTTACAGAGTCTGTGATACACACCATTTCTGAATTTTCCTTGGTTACGGCTTTTAGTTTCTCTTCCATGCGTTGCAAAGAAACCATCAGTTCATCATTTCTCTTGGCGAGGCACTTGTTCCTTTCCAGGAGAGGTTTACATTGTTTCTCAGTTTCCCTCACACGTTTTAACTGTGGAGAAATAAGTTAAAAATTGTTTCTTGTATCTTGAAGTTGACACGGAACAAGGGAAGTCAAGGATGATAGCCAGAAAGAAGTACTCTGGAGCCGCCCCACCCCCCAGGCCTGACCACTGCATTCCACTTCTCCACTAAATAGATCAATTTTTAAAATGTTTTCTAGTTCTCTCTCTCTCTCTCTCTCTCTCTCTCTCTCTCTCTCTCTCTCTCTCTCTCTTCTCTCTCTCTCATTTTTTTTTTTTCTTTTAGAGGAGATCATCCAGTGTAATTCTTTTTAAAAATTTTTTTATTTATTATTTTATGTGTATGCGTGTATTCCCTCGCATTTAGGTAAGTGCACCCGTGTTTTGCAATGCCCTCGGAGAACAGAAGAGTCTGTCAGATCCCCTGGAACTGGAGTTATGGCGAGTTGTTAGCTGCCATGTGGGTGCAGGGATTCAAACCCAGGTCTTCTGCAAGAACAGCCAGTGTTCTTAACCACTGAACCATCTCTTCAGCCCCACATGCAATGTAATTCTAAGTCTAAGACTCGCTATGTAGACCTGACTGGCCTGGAACTTGTAAGAATCCTCCTGCCTCTGCCTCCACTGTGCTAAAATAAAGGCCATGAACCACCATGCCTGCTCTATGGCTTTCCATCATGATCCTCCCAACCCTCAGCTTCTGTTACCTTACAGAGATGCTGTTGTTGGGAATGTATAGTAGGAGTTACAGCTCTCTGCTCCCTTTTGCTTTCCACCTCAGTCACTTCCCCATGTTCATCCCACTCTCTGGACCAGAAATGTCCTCTTGTTGGCTCAGAGAAACACAGCAACATGACTGAACCATACCATCATTGCCTAGTCCCAGCACAGCCTAGACCCAAGCCTTACTGTCTTCAAAACCTAATATCTCTCAAAAGGTCTTGCTGAAATCTGCTCATTAAGGCAGTTATATCTTACGTTGCTATCATAGGCCCTGTTCCCTCCTTCATAGGCTGCTTAGCAGTGTCTTTGGTCTCTGCCCATTTAGATGACAATAGCATAGTGTCACTGTGAAAAAAAAATATGTTACCTAAAGTGCTTCTAATTTAGAATCACTACTCTAAATTTATGAGTGTTGTTTTATATTTGGTTGATGTACTTTAGACCAAACGAGCTAGATAGAAAGGATATCCATGTTAAATACCTAATGATTACTTCATTATTTTCATAGGAATGTTCCTGGATGTGAATATGTCTTGTGGAAGTGCTACAAAGACGATGAAAAGGAAGGGGTGTATCAGGATTTTTAAAAATTATCTTTATGTGCATGAGTTCTTGTCATGCAATGCTCACGGAGGTCAGAAGAGGGTGTCAGATCTCCTGGATCTGGAGTTACAGTCAGTTGTTAGCTGCTAGGTGGGTGCTGGGATTTGAACCCGTGTCTTCTGCAAAAACAGTCAGTGCTCTTAACCACTGAATCATCTCTCTAGCCCCAGTATCAGAACACTTTTAAAAATAGTCTATAATTTTGGAAAGTCATTGAGGGAAGAGAAATCTACCTAAGAATGCTTAAACACACACACACAAAAAAAAACAAAAAACAAAAAAACAAAAAAACAAAAAACCAAAAAAAAAAACAAACTCCTTTTGCAGCTCTTAGCACTTCCTTCACTCCATCCCAGTCTCAATGTAAAAACCTTGATTTTAGGGGAAAGGCAAAAATTGGATTTATTTCTCATAAATAACCTGGTATAATTCTTAGTTCTTGAGCTTCTGTGTCTGAATCATTAATATTAAATAACAAGTACACATAAAGAAAAATTAATCCATTTAGTTTATGATTTCAACCTTTATAGCTTCTGGAGGTCAACGCCATGTCTTTTAAATATTTAAGTCTACTCAGCGCATACTATTCATAGAAAATGCAAATAAGCACAAAGAAAAAGAAGTAATTCTAGCATAGCACACACTCTCCATGTTCCATGGCAGTCCTTCACAGTCCCAACAGAATGCTCCTTTTGAAAGGTGTACCTTGATATATAACAGAAAAAGATTAAAATAATATATATATATATATATATATATATATACATAGATGGCTGCTCATTCATATATGTATGTATATATTAATACACAGAAATTCATGTAAACACAAAAAATAACTGATATAGTTCAACTAATAAGAGATTGAATTGAGAAAAGAAAGCACTTCAATATTTCATAATGATGACAGGGTAATTTGCCAAAAACACAGGCAAATATTAATTTCTGTGCATCAGGTAGCATCACTTCAGATGTATATAAAGCAAAATGAGCAGAACTAAGAAGAGATATAGATGACTCTGACTGGAGAAGGAGACAAAAGCATCAGAAGGATCTAGAAAAGGTGAAGTGGGTCAACCAACTGAACAGAGCTAGATCTGATAGTTATGGAGCATACTTTTTCTCTTGAGGATATGAGATATTTCCAAAACTGACCACATGCTGAGGCCATGAAGGAAGCCTCACTAAATCCCACAGGAATGAAATCCTGCAAAGTGTGGTGAGAGTAAAGGAATGACGAGGAAAGAGGTAATTCAAACATCTCTAAATGTCTAGGAACAGCCACACAATTTTAGATCGTAGAAGAAAACTGCATGAAACTAGAAAAGAGCAGAATGAAAGAGCGATACATTATGACATATCACAGGTTGCGAAAGGAAACTAAAAGCCAAGACTAGAAAGAAATCATCACCTAAAATGAATATTTTTTAACAGAAAGGCTGAAGCAACTTTTACACAAACAACTCCATTAAAAGTAAGGCATAGAGCAATATGTTTAATATATTTTCCAACAAATGACTTTAAAATGTTCTAAAATTAGTAAGAAAAATAAAGCAGAATAGAAAAGTAACAAAAGGCTAAGTGCAATTTCTATAGGAAACCCAAAAGGTCAGCAGGTATTCAAAGGCTCTCCCAATATCACTAGAAATGATAAAAATTAAAATAAAAATCCGAATAAGAATATCCCTCATGGCCACCAAAATGGCTGAAGTTAACAGTTATCTGTGTATCTTGGCAAGATGTGGAGAAACTGCAGTCTTCACACATCAGTGCTGAGAATGTAAAGTGTTATAGCAATTTTAGGAAACAGCTGACCACATGCATGGTACAAAATTCTGCCCCCAGAGGCAATAAAAACACTTTTTTAAACCAAAGTCATTTTGTAATCTCATTTTAAACAGCTTAAATGTGCTTAGAAACTCCAAAAATATCCCATAAAAAAAGAATGGATGCATCTATTGTGATATGTTTACTAGAGGCTACAGATTAATGAAAGTGAGCAGTTCTACATGTGGCTCAATGGTGACTCTCAAAGACAGTGCTGACTGAGCAACGAAGCCAGACACAAAGGCATCATTATGCAACCATGTTCAAAAAATAAAGGCAATAGACATCTGTGTTGACAGAGGTCGGAAGAGTGCCACCTTCAGTTGGGTGGTGATTGGGAGGGGTCCTGGGCCTTCTCTGCTTGTACATTTAGAGGGCAGTGACAGCTTTGCCACTTTGTGAATATTAATTGCACTATACTTTTATGATTTGTTCACTTTTCTTTCAATGATATACTTTCATAGTTGAATGTACATTTTGATAGCATAATTCTTAGTAAAACATAATAGAAACATTTTGAGTACAACTCACCAATTCATTTCGCTCGTCTCCAAGCAAGGTATTCCTATCTTCCAATTTTCTTATGGTGGCATTCAATTCAGCGATTCTCTTTTGATTTCTTCGCAAATCCTAAACATGAAAAGTAAAATGAGTACCCCTTCAGTAATACTTTTCCAAAGTTTGGCATTCCATTCATAAAACTAGTAGGCTCAGTCCTTCCTATCTGGCTCATGGAGTGACAGTTCTTTTGCTCTGAGGAGAGTAAATAGTTTCCCTTTATAACTCCTAACATTTACTACTTGGGTTGCAGATCAAGAGTGGTTGAAGCTGCAAAAGTGGCAGACAGTCCCCAGAACCCGAACTCTGGCAGATGTGGGGGGCATGTTGGGGAGGGTGGAAGCAGAAGGCTGAACTAGCTAGTCAGAGTCCTTTACAGTGTGACCAATGTAATGTTGTGACTTCATGAGGGTCCAGGAACATCCTTAGTTGTCACAGAAGTATATTGTTTCTCATAGCACAGACAGCTGCTCTACTATGACATTTGTCCACAGCAGGGACAGATTAGGAATAACATGGGGCTTTTTGGGTTCCTATATAGTCCTGGAAAAAGACATCAGTGCAAGAAAAAGTATATGACCCTTACGTGCAAAGGGCAGGGTATACAGAAAAACCTAGAATGAAGTATTTTATACAGCACAACTGGCTTCCCCACTGGCAAAACTGTCATGAATTACCTTACCTATCCATCAGTTTTGGCTCCGTTCTGTGCTGTAGACCATTTTTATCACGATCATATGCTTGCGATTCTATTATCACTTTTCATTTTGATAGTGATACACTGTCAATGGAGCAGTTTCACACAGAATACATCCCTAGTGTCATAATATGATTCAGATGATTCAGCAAAGCAGGCCAAATTCAGGGCAATTCTACCAGCCCAAGTCTTATGTTGGATATCAATTTTCAATGCTATGAATGCTACGTTTGTGCCAGATAAAATACTCTACTTTTATATGACCTATCTCATGATCCTTAGACCTAGCCTTACATAAACCACTAATAGCCTCCATTTTCAGATAGTTGAACACAGGGAAGTGGTTTGCAGAAGGTCATTCAGCTAATGAGAGATATTGAATATGTACTAACGGGTCTAACTCTAAAGTCCATTTTAATAACTATGCTATATTGCATGTAGGTATTAGCAAGAGAACTAACATTTCCATGTGTTACATCCTAGAGCAGTATACTTTCTACCACCTACTAGAAAACATGTGTATGTATGTCCTGAAACCCAATTCATAAATTATTAATTACTTTGCTCTAAGTAGTACTTTGGAACTCATCTCCTGTTCCTACATAACACATTTTTGCCTTTTAACAACTAATTATTTGAAAGCCAGTTGCATGCAAGTTGATTTCTCTCATTGTGCACATGAAAATATCTTTATGTAAAATGATAAAAATCCCATAAGAGAAGTGCCAAGTTCAGTCTGTCCAGAAGCTTTCACTTTACGACTATAAATGGTTCAGTCTTTCTTAAAGGCAGACATTACAGGTAGAAAATTAAGTATCTTTGTCAATTTTTCTAACTCAATGGTTCACATCTGGCAAAATTATCCATCTTGGCAAGAGGCAAATATTTTCATTTAACTTAGGATTCTTATAATAGATTTGAGTTTGGATAGATACCACTTGGCTAGAAATATTCTATGAAAGATTCAAAGAAACCCGCAACTCTCATGTGATCTGCTAATGCAGTGCAGACCACTTTGCTGTCTGAGAGTTTAGAAAAGCTTGTTCCCAAGGTACTAGCTGGTTTTCTGGTAGGAGACAGAATTGATTTCTTTGTGCTTATAAATAGGAAAAGAGCTTACGTGAAAAGCAGAACTTGGGAGCTGAATAAAAGATGACTACTGTGTTGTTAACTTCAACTTGAATGGGCTTACCGGGCTGCTGCAGTGTTCAGAGCCATCCCCAGCCCTTCCTGGAATCTCTCTCTTTGGACTGCTCATGTTACACTCTGCTTCCTTGACCAGGAAGAGCTGTTCATCCAAAGCTTCCTTCTGCAGTTGGAGCTTCTGTACATAGCCAGTCTGCGTTTCCAGTTCCTTTTCCAGGGAAAAGATGATCCTATCCTTTGCTTTGATTTCATCCATCTGAATTAAATGACACCCAGGACATTTAATTTAACAATGTTATTAGAAAATTCCATTTTTTATTATGGGTTTAAATTTACCTTATTTCTTGCAATTAATAGAGAAAAAAATATTCAGCAATTCAGAGTCAATAGGCAGCAAGGAGTGTGATTTTCTTTTCTCTTTAGCATGTTTGTGTGGTTGTTTGCCTTCATATATTGTTTGAAATGGTCTGGGTTCCTTAGGAAAGGCTAACTCTAAAATGGAGCATTAGTTTTGATAGAGATAGATACTGAATATTCCACCACAATGTTTCTAAGGATAAAAAACAGTTACAGTTTTTACGTTTTTTTGTTTGTTTGTTTGTTTGTTTTTTTCAGGGAATGGACACTTGATTTAAATCCAAATAGTGATTGATACTATCAGCTAGTCATTTGTAACTGAAGAAACTACAGACTTCCCAGCAGCAGCCTGATGATTCTAAGGAATAGGAATTCTGCTGGTGAGAATGGAGGAAGGTCTGTCCAGAGGCAAATGCCCTGTGGTTCTTTCCTTTCCTTCCCACACTAACAGCCAATCCTTAGCAACCTTTCCAGCATCATTGTCAGAAAATCAAAATGGGACTAGAACAGGGATTCAAAATACCCTATAATTTTAGCCACTATTTCTCTTATATTTGTGGAATAAAATTATTGATCCCAACAGCCATTTATGCTAAGCTTGAGCTTGGTCTTAAGTGTATTTTTCAACTCAAAGCAGAGGCATTGCGTACTGATGGGTGAGAATTCCACTGGACTGAAGTCTCTTGGCTAGATGAAGGACATCAAATGAATGAAATGAATGTCTGTAAAGACATTTTAAAGAGAGTGTAGACACTAGATGAAACTTTCCTCTCATTTCATTATATTCTATGTGAATATTTAAAATGAAGAGAAGACATTTAATACAAATGTCATTCTGCTTTTCTTTTTCTAAAAATGTCTGATATTTAACAGCTTACCTTGTGTGTATTGTTGCTGCACTTTAGACCAGGAAGGAAAGAGAAAATCATTGTAGGGTGCAGTCATACATTTTCCTCATGTAAATGCCTGGCTAGGTTACATGACTAAATGTTAGGTCAACATTGGGAGAGCACTGGACTCAAGTCTGCATGGTCCTGTAATACCATCTGTTGACTTGGTAGAGAATACCATCTGCATTTTCTAACTCCTTACAGAGGACTAAGTCCAGTGTTATACTGAGTATATGTTCATTTGTTCATCTGTCGGGCGTGCACTGATGTGCACAGTGTTGTTTACAATGGAACACAGCTCCTTATCTGCTTGTTCTTGGTTGCTTATAATGCTTTCTATTTAATGGTACTTGCTAGGAAACCACCCCATTAATCCTCCTCATTAACTCAAATAATCCTCTGCATCATCTTTTATATTGTAACTAAAACTTACTGATCTTTTGCCATATTTGAAGGGTTATAATTCTGCATATTATCTCACTTGGTAATAAAGTCTTATCCAGTAGGCTCCATGATCATCATTTAACAGAGGATGACTGAGGACCTGAAATGTGAGCTACTTTCTCATCATCACCTGCCTTATGTGTAACACAATCTTCATCTTTAAACTTGGTCTTCTCGGGTCCATCTGTGAGGCGCTCATATTATCCACATTGCCCCAGAATGTCCCAAAGTGATTCCATGTGGAATACCTCGCAATTCATTGTTAGAAGGCTCTACTATGTGGTGGTTATGAATATGGAGTCTGATTCTCAGAATACTGAAAATCAACCAAAGGTCCACTTCTTAAATAGTAAAGAATATATTCCAAAATTCTCTGGGAAATTTTTCTAGAAAGGACAGTTCTCCTGTATTTTCATCCAGGTCCAAAATTGCATATGAAGGTGAGGGTACAGATAGGTAAAGAAGAGGAGAAAATGCCAAAAAGAGCACATGTTCCAATGAGACAGTTTCCCTTCTGATTTTTTAAAATTAGCTTTCAGATAGTATAGAATTCATGTTTGGTTGTTTTGAAGAATTTCAGATCTAGTTCAGCAATGTGCTTGGAAAGAAGTCATGGCAACAATCATGATGATGTGTAGATTTCACATCGAAAGGCAAACAAGAATGCTTAATTGAAGGCTTTCTTTCCCTTACCTACCTGAGATCTCCACTTTTCTCCATCCTGCTTCTTCCTTCATCAGCCATGGTCATTTCAGAAACCAAAAGCAGAGCAGAGACCAGTATTTCTGCACTGCATTTGGCCTTTATTGTCAAACAATACAGCAGAGTGAATTGCAGATAAAAAAATTTCAGAAACTGTGGCAAAGGCAGCATCTTACAGTCACACTGTATTATAGTACTAAGAAAATGACACAAGCTTAACTTTCAAAATGTTCTATGGTTACCACTTTTTAACTTAGAATTGGAACCCCAGAGACATCATCCAAAAACAAGAAAAGGAATTCTTAGAAAATGATTTCTCAGGACTTGGAGACAAAAGAGTGTTTTGTTCTAAAGCAGTTTCTGCTATTTTAGTTTTTGCCAAGGTGACACAAACTAGCGTCACAAAGGAAGCGGTTCCTCCATCACAATCACCTGTGAGCAAGTCTGTGAGGCATTTTCTTAATTGCTAATTTGTAAAAGGGGGCCTAGTCCACCAGAGTAGGCCTGGGCTGTATGAGAAAGGTGATTAACTGAGCACAGCAGAGGAAGTGAGCGAGAAAACAGCATTCCTTTGTGGTCCTGTTGGAGTTCCTGCCCTGACTTCCCTCACTGAAGAATTGCTACCTGGATGTGTAACAGTGAAATACTTTGCCTTGGTCGTGGTGTTTACTGCAGCAACAGAAAAGCAAAGTAGGATAAACTACTATATAGAAAGAAACATTTTGAATACATTCTATAGGCGAAGATCTAGCCAATCCTAAACATTTGCATACAGCTGGCTATAAATGTTTCTTCTAAAACAGTTGAACAAGGGTAACCTAGGACATTATGGATTTTGAATGATACATCTGCTTTATTTTTTAGCATTGTGAGGGCTCTGGGTGGGTTTTGCCTGTACATGTTAAAACAAAACGAAACAAAACACAATTCTGTATGGGTTGAAGTAAGTCAAGAAAATTATAAACAACAAACAAGTTGCTTGCAAATGACTTCCAATTAAAAATTATAATGGCTCATAACAAATGTCCCTTGCTTATTTTGGGGAAATGGTCTATTTTCAGATGATGGGGATTTTATAGCTGTGTTCTGCTTTCAGACACAGTTCCTGGAAAAAATTAGCTGCTGAATCACTCAGGACATTTTCAGCAGTAACCATTTTCAATCACAATGTAAAACCATCTCCTACTTCCCGTGAAACACTCAGTCGAATTTTATAAGTGGAAAACCCACAAATCAGGCTAACTTTGGAACAGTTTATAATTTAGAATGTTTTTATAAGCTACCCAAGGAAAGAAGTCACTGCAGAAATACCCGCCACGGTCTATATGGGCCTGGGCATGATTCCAAAATCTCTTACATTTTGCAGTTCTGATTTCTACCGAAATACCTACCTATCAACCTATTTTGTTTTTGGATAGAGCATTGGGCAAAAACATGGGTGTTGTTTAGAATACAGTGCCAAGGAATCGCCTAACCTAGCAAACTGAGCTCTGGAAAGAACAAGTTTCTGTGCTGCCCTGATGGAGTTACTAACCAGCCTCCGAATATCCCGTTCCGACTCCCACTTAATTTTCGAGATGGCTTCCTGGTGAGACTGGTGCTCGCTCCTAAGGTCCCCAGCCTTGATTTTATCCGCTTGGATCATATTGCTCAGCGCTTCATCCACCTGCTTCTTGGCAGTTTTCAGGTCCGCAATTTCCTGCAAGAGCTTAAGGCGCTCTGCATCAAACTGTTTCCGGGCCTCCTCCCGGGCCTCAATGGTGAGCGCTGTCCTTACTTTGTCGCTGCTGCCGTCGCGGAGAGCACACAGAGCAGACTTGAGCCTTTGGATTTCCCCATCCCGCACCTTAACCGTCCTTGACATCTCCTGCTCATGCTGCTTGATAAGATTCTCCCTCACGGCCTGCAGCTCCTTCATCTTCTCCTCGTGGAGCTTGGCTTTGAGCTCTGTCACCAGAACCGTGTGCTTGCGCTGCTCCAGCTCACGAATCCTTTTTGTTTCTTGAGTCTTCTCTCTTTCAAGCTTTGATACCTAAAGGCAGAGAGGTGAAAGGATGAAAACGCTGGCTTCTCAAAGAAAACCTGTGCTCCCAGGCAAGATCCTGCAGCTCGGAGTGCTGTGATCTCTTAATTCCTCATTCATTTAAAAAAAAAAAAAAAATCCAGGCTACTTTGTGCTCAGAGAAAAGGGAGCCACAGGTCTTAAAGCTGTGAATACGGTGTGTACAAAAGGGAAGAACCTAAGTTGTTTATCTCAGCATGTGAAGACAAATGTTTGATGTTCTGGGGGCTTCCTATTCCACAGGCTCAGCTCCAGTGCCACCCAGAAGCTTGTTAGAAATGCCAAATCCCAAACTCTCTCTCAAAGCTATAAAGCGAATGAGTCTTTTAATAATTCTCAGGCAACTGGTACACACGTTAAAACTGGGCGGTACTGCTAGGGTGGTGCTCCCTTTGGGGGAGAAGAGTCCAGGGCTGATCACCTACAAACTACACAGCCCTGGGCTGACCCAAACTGAAAAATGTGGGGATCTCCTGATAGCTCAAAGTTCGATGCTGTGATCAGGCAAACAGGCTCAAATTCTTATATAATGCTCTTCTTCCTCATTTGGGAGGCAGAAGTACAGGTGGAGAATAGCCTGCTGATGATGGAGAAGATAGTAAGTAAAAGCAGTTACAGTGCCATGGCTTTACCTCTTTTAGTATAGCAGCTTCGGTCATTGCCAAACTTAATGCATATGCACATACAGGCACACCAGTCAGCCAAACAAGCAAAGAAAACCACTAAGTGTGCAGCCTGTTGGCTCCTCCTCTAATATACAACCTTAGGGACTGTTCCATCAGTACTCCACATTGCTGCACCGTTCATCAGTTTCACTCTTCTCCTTGACCTTGCAGAACCAAGCCAACACTCCAAGCAATTTTATAAACATTTTTTTCTAAACTGTTCACCTCTCAAGAATTCTGTTTAAAAGATTCTTCTGACTTTCATTATGTTTCCTATGATAATATAGATTTCCCTGCAGGTGTGTTCTGCTCTAATTCCACTGAGTCAGTCTCCTATGTAGCAGATTGCTGTGGTATAGGGGCTGGAGCAGAAGCAAGAAGAAGCCCTTTTGTGATCCTGTCCTGTGCCTCCTCCACTCAGTACATCTCTCACACCTGTTTTTGTCTTCTCCTCCATTTCTTCATCTTACTGGGAACACACACAGGCGCGCGCGCGCGCGCACACACACACACAACACACACACATTTTGAAAAAGAAAAGACACTTTGGGAGCCCCAGGAGTATTATGTAGTTGAGTGAGATTGATTCTCTGTCATTTCTCTAGTTGGAAAGTTCTGTAGAATAATAGTTGAAAGTTTCCCCAACTAAGACTGTTTTAGGAGTCAAAGTGTTTCTTGAAATCATTGTAATTATAGAGTGTCTAAAATTTTACTTACCTCAATAATTTACCTACCTTCAGCTACAACAGTATTTTCTAAGTGAAGTAGTGCTTTGTGAACGTATTACTTTTTACAGGCACAGCAATTTTTCTCACAATGGTTATTTTATAATGCTGTTGAGTCCATGAGGACTTGGTGAAGCAGCAGCTATGCATGTTCAAAGGACTATCCTCTGCCCTGTCCTCAGTTTAGGTATCCAGGCCCCCCTTTGGAGACCCATCACCTGCTCTCTACTGTATTGTCCAGCATAGTGGCCACTGGCTACACTGAACACTTGCAATATTGCAAGCTTGAGATTTTCTCTACATGTAAAATATACTCCGCATTGAGATTTTATAAGATAAAAGCATGAAAAATTTCGTATTCGTTATTTAAAATGATTACATACTTAAATTATAATATTTTGAGTGTATTAAATTTAAAAATTGCATTAGTAAAACTGTTCTTTTTTTACTTAATTAAAAATCACATACATGTGGTTAGAGTTCCCACTCTATTTCTTTTGGCCAGTGTTGTTGTAGAGTGCTTTGAGATTCACTTAGAGAATCTAGCTTTCTTCCTGTAGCTAGTGATGCTTTCTTAGTAAAGCTCAGTCCTGGCATTATCTTTGTGCCAACTCACAAGCTGCCTAGAGTCCTTCTCGTTATAGAACAGAATCCCCACCTCAGCCTTGTCACTCAGGCTAGTACAAAGGTTGAGCGGCCTTCAGCTTCCACCTCCTTTCTCCTTCCCCTCACCTGCTCCTGCTCCACATACAGGGGACCATGCTATTTCCTACACATGGTATGCAATTGTGCCTATGTGCCTCTAGTTTCTTCTCCCTGATGACCCACTTCTCAGTTCCTTTGGTGACTCTCACATTCCTCCTGGCCTGGCTGGGTGTCATCCATTCCTGTCACGCAAGCATCTTTGCTCAGGACTAAGCTCATGTCTATCATTTTTGTCTTCAGTGTGCTTTGCTGATCCTTTATACATTTTTCTTTATGGTACAGTTTCGGTGCATGCTTGCCTGTTCTCACCACCACCCTCTTATCCTTACCTCAGACTAGAAACTCCTAGAAGACAGTACCATTGTATACCTGCTGGTTGCCAGCACAGCACAGTGAAGAGCTACAAGGCATGGGTGGAATTCAAGGACATATGCCAATGTTTTTCTGGCTAGCTCCCTCAGAAGAAGGAAGAATAAAATGCCTCCTCATATATCTTAGAGAACATAGGCTCATGGAGTTACCAAAGTAACTGCTCATTGACTCATTCCCTGTACAATACCACAACAAACAAAACCCATGAGAACGCAGTGAGAACTCCAGTGGTTAATGTTTCTTTTGTGCCTCAATAAGGAAAAGCTAGGTCTTATTCTCACAATTCCAGAGCAAATAAAAAAGGTGTTTTCCCGAGTTGGGGTGGGAAAGTAGAGAGCATACACTAAACTTATGCTGTCTTAGCCTTCATGCTGTTGGAATACAGCCATGTTCATTTGTTCACATTGCTTAAGGCTGTTTCAATGATACAATAATTATTTTCAGAGATTGTCTGGCCCACAAACCCTAAAATATTTTGTCTTTCACTTTTTAGGAAAGTTTGTTGATTCCTATTCTTGATGAAGTCTTTACTGATAGAAGAATGGATTTCATTTTCTAATTTAGAACGTTTACCTTCCTTGTAAAAGATTAGGCATTTGACATTGGCTCAAGTGACAGGAACTTAGTTCTCTTCAGTCAGTCAGGAAGTATTTATGTTATGCTTCGGAAGAGCATCATGACCACAGGGATGTTGGGTAACAGGCTGCTAAAGGAAACTTAAAAATTCATAGGACAATGGAAACTACAATGTAATGGACAAAAGGTGAGACCTGCTGAGTTTGGATTTCTGTTTCACCATCTAAAGAACTGTGCTTGAACAACACCTCCAATAGTTATTGCCAGGATTAAATTATAAAATGAATGGGAACATAACTAAAACTGTAAAGTACTGTGACATATATGACAATCACAGATATAATAGGAAATGCTCCACTCTAAATTACTTATGTCAGATTCTCTCCAGGTACATAACATTGCATCTCTCTGTGAGTCATTTCTCTCAAATTATAAACAGTAATCTTTTTTGTCTGTAGGCAAAAAGAGATATAAAGAAGAAAAAAATAAGACTGAAAATAAGAGGCTTGGAAAATAAATTCCAACCTGAAGATAAAAACCAATATAAATAAACGCTGCCTGTCCTGTTAATCACTTAAAAACAATTCACAAACCAAAAAAGATTCCAGGGAATTGAGTCACAGTTCACATTTCTTAGGTCTACTTATTTTAGTTGTCACAGAAACTGCCACTATTTGTAGGGTTCCTTGACATGACTTATTTCCCTTTAAACTTGGGAAAAGTGCTTCAATTTGAAAGGATGTGACTACAATTTGGGGGAAATTAAGAGGCAATAACCATTTAGTAGTGAAATCTTTTTCTGAAGTTTATTTATAATACAGATTGGACCATTAAGGCAGTAAATATCTTAATATAAATCTTGAAATGACTACATAAAAGATTAAGGACTGCTGCTAAATAAAAATTAAAATATAAACATGATATTTTGAAATGGAGAAAAATAATTGATGAAAGAAAAAAATAATTTTGAGCAGTGAGGATGTTTGATGGAGAATAATTTCAGTCCAGTCATATGCTAGCTAGTGTTTCTGTAAGGCTTACTTTAAGTTGGCACCTTTGTAAATAGGCAATATACTCATTAGCGCATTTAACCTCTAAGTCAGCTCTGTAATGTCTGTTGTATTCATTTCATTGTATTTCAGGTGAGAAAGTGAGGAACAATCTCCACATAAGTACAATGAAAATTAGACCAACGTGGCACAGAGCTAAGTCTGACCGAGAATCCTGGCCTCCCTGTTTGCTCTCAAACTTTCGACCAATTGCTTTACCTCTGAGAGTCTCAGTTTTCTAATAGGCACATTAGGGTTGAGGATTTCATTCTCATGTGGTTGTGGTGAGGATGACTCAGTCTATCAAAAGTCAGTACATATTAAGAAACAGTAAACGCTATCTTGTTAATTTATTTTGAAACTATTGTTACATACAATATTATACAATGCTACAGCAAACCCCCACCAATAAACATGCAAGTGCCCATAATATATGGCTAATGTTACTATAATACATCAAAACTGTAACAGTTTCCAAACTGAAAGAAATGTCCAAAGATAAACCTGGGTTTCTTCATGGTATGTTGAGTTTCCTGGTATTGGTGGCATAGAAAACAAAGGGAATGCATGTGGGTATGAGGGGTGGAGGATGTGCTGGAAAAGGCAAGGATAAGGGAAAACTGAACATTGTGAAGATGACCTTCCAAATCTTTTCTGCCCTAGTGACTCTGTGGAGAAAAAAAAAAAAAAAGATCATTAAGAAAAAAGAGCCCTGTTGCTAGAAGGTTATGGTAGGATACAGGAAGAGAATTCATGACTACACGCTCCTGGTATAATTCTAGTCCAACTTTTAGAGATGCCAGTGTAACTTCTGCCAAGATAAGCACAGTGGTGATTTGAGGTTTAATGTGATCTTAGAGGTCTGGCCTTAAAAACTGGAGCAGAGTTAAAGGTAGGTAAAGGGTTGTGAGTTTATCAAGGCAAATCAAGCTATCAGAGCTGTGCCTTGGATTATCTGCTTTGGACATTCCTGGAAAGCAAATTCCCAGTAAACCAGCAAAGGAACTTTCAAACAAGAGTAGTGAGAGGAGAAAACCTGCTCAGCTAAGCAGGCTGCCTATAAGGCACCTTACACCACCTGAAAGGACAAGCTCGTCTCTTCCTTCCTTCCTTCCTTCCTTCCTTCCTTCCTTCCTTCCTTCCTTCCTTCCTTCCTTCCTTTCTTTCTTTCTTCCTTCTTCCTTCCCTCTTTCCCTGTCTCCCACCCTCCTCACTCCCTCCTTCCCTTCTTTCCTCCCTCCCACCTGGCCCTTCTTTCTTTTCTAATTTCTTGTTTCAGACAGCTATACTTTCTGAAAACAGAAGCAAAGATACAGACAACAAGAAATACCACAGTTCAACCTTAACTCTCAAACCCAGAGGCTCTGGGGACTGAGGATGTAGAAGGTTTTCCAGTGGCAGCAGGCTAGGTGGGGGAGGAAGAGCGGTCAGGTACTCAAGTGCTACCTTGATCTCCATTATCTACTAGAAGTAGAGTTGCCATTTTGTCTCCTCCATTTGCTGTCACTGGGAGCAAATGAGTTAAACAATTTGAACCTCATTTTCTTCTTCAGTGAAGTCAGAATAGTAATCACATGCTGTCTTTGTCCCATGCTTGTTGTGATGATTGTGTGGTTGGGTGTCAAATGCTTTGCAGTGCCCTTGCTTCCACTGGCAGCTCCTGTTGGGAACCAATCCCTCCCAGGTCTTGCACTGCAGGCCTGCTGCCTGTAGCCTCTACCTAGAAACCCTCTTCTCTGCTCCTATCCCTTCATCCCCTCTGTCACTGTAGCCCACCTCTGAGAGAAATAAGATCATCTGGGGAACCCAGTGGGTGGATTTCTCATCTCGTAACAACCCCTGTTGTCCACACACACTGAGCATGGGATTGTAGCCTCATGGTATCCACAGAAAAGACAGAGAAAAATACAGTTTAATCGCTCTGAGTGCTGGTTCAAAATAAGGATAGACCTATGTGGAAATCCTTTCTTCACTCGAGCCTGAAGCTTTCCACCCAAATGTTATAACAGTAGTGATACATGGGGAAGCATTTCAAAAAAATCACACAAGCTCATTCAGCAAGCAGTTTTGAGTACCTCCTACATACCAGGTGGCTTTTTCATCTGTAAGACAGAAATAACTGCAATGCTTGGTTGAGAGGGAAGAACTGAGGGTCAAATGAGATGATGCCTTGACACACCTACCAAGCCTGACACCAGCTGATTGCTCCAAACTTCACCCCTCATACACTGTCATAGGGAGAGAGTAAATGCCTCTGCTCTCCCATTTGAGAGGTGAAGGAAAGAAAGCACAGAGGCACTTGAGGATCTGCTCAGGGTCACTCAGGTGTTAAGTGTAAGAGCTGGGACTGCCACAAGATGAAGTGTGTGTGTTAAAGTATTTATTCAGGAAGCTGTAGCTAGCTATTTATATCATGAGCCAAAGCACTTACTACTGACTCTGTTCTCTGCACAATGGCCATTCTGTAAATGCCAATAGCATTATTTGTCTTGCTGGGAAAATGAGTAATGGCCTATTGCTCCAAAGGTTTCTACTCCTTAGTTCATTCCCAAAGGCTGAACTGTCATTTTATCATAAAAGTCTCAGAGCCAAATTGAGAGTTAGAAATACACATCTTGGCTTTGCTCATTCTCCTCTCCTAAAGCCTGCTCCTTTGAAAACACAATCGTATTTATCTGTAACGAAATTGCTTTATGATTTGTTTGCCCTCTAGGTCCCTTTGCTGCTGACAGGCAGTGAGGCTTTGTTTTAACTCCTGCGCTGTGGTTATAATTAACTACCAGGAAAAGAGATGAAGGCAGGAGCTACCAAGAAAGGGGATGAGAGGACTGTGTTCCTGTGCAAGAGATCTACTGCCAGGGCCTTGTCAGAGGAAGAGGGGATCACACCTGTCTGTCAGATGAACGCTGTGCCAGGCCCTGGAAGATAGGCAGTCTCCTTCAAATTCAGGAGTTGCCCATTTGAAAAAGCTTGATTCTGTGGAATACTGGCAGTGATAGGGCCCTCAGGGCACCTGCTCCTCTAGAGTCTCATGGTTTGTTCTCTCCCAAGCATTACTATCACTGTCATTAGTCATCCTGTCTTTACTAGAATTAAAGGACCAGACTCCCTTCCCATGTTACCCTGCCCCAGGGAAAACTAAAATGAACTAAGCAGATGCTGGTAGACAGTGATGCCTGGAAGGAATCTTACAGGGGAGAGCTTGTCTTCCTCAAGTCTGGAGCCCCTCCATCTGAATCACCCACACTCTTTTATAGAAATGTTAAGTCCTGTTCCGCACTCCATTTGCTTTACCAGAATCCTTGGATTGTGGGCTCAGGAATCTGGACTTCTTCTGAGCTCATCCAGATTATTCTCTTGCAGTGATGCAGGAGAGACACAGATGTGCAGAAATACATTCGGTCATCTGAATTGCAGATAGAGACATTGCCACTTAAGTCTGTTTCCAAGAAGAGACAAAAACAAATAACACCTGGGACTTTTGACTTGTGCACAAACTATAGCTTTTAAACGTGAGAACATTTCTCTTTGCTTTGTGGAAATCAGGAAATTTCCTTCATAAGCTTCACATTGGAGTTTATTTATCCAAGGTCAAGCTTAGCTGGAACAGGAAGCAGTAGCCTTTGAATGATCCAAAGTTCATTCATTATTGCTGAAATTAGGAGAAACAGCTTTGGGGATAAAAATTAGATTTTAATAGTGATACAAGAAAATACAGACAAAAATGAAATAAGCTATGTGAGTTTGTGATCAAGAATGTTTTCCCATTGACAGTTATCTAAATGAGGAAGTTTTATATTAATATGATTCTTCTGGGTTGCAAGCAAAAACATGTATGTATTGGATATTTCAAATGCTTGTCTAGCCAGGACTCCACTTGATCCACACTGTCCCATGATACACAGCATATCTATCTAACTGATGAGATTAAGAGAGATGAAGATTTATTTTTAAGATTAGTTCAAAACTGACTCAAGCACAGAGAATATAAGAAAGAATACTAATATTAACCAAGGAAAATAACAAACTAGTAACTTCATTTTTGAGAACGCAAGCTGGGCAAGGCTCAGAGCACTTTTTATCAACGTTCTCACTTGATCCTCATGAGTACATTATGCCTTGTTGAGTTTATACCTAATTATAGTTGCATGACATAGAGGTAGCATTTTAATGATGAAGGAACTGAAATATAAAGAATAAAACATCTTTGAGTAATTTCCCTTCTCACTCCAACAAATGTATATTGCACTTTTAAGTTGGATGTTATTTAGGCTTTAGGAATACCAAGAAAACGAACACCCCACTTTCATAGACATCGCAGTAGATTGGGGGAAGACAAGCACTAAACAGATAGTAAATATATCGCCAGGAAATACACAGGATAATCAAGGGAATATAGTGGGAGGTAAGTCAAAGAGAGGGCTGGGGGTCAGCCTCTGCAGTGGTATGAGAAACCCTTTGACTGAAAAGGAGGTAGGAAGCCACTGGATGGTGCTGAGCAGTGGCGTGACATGATGTGACACAGTCTTAAAGAACTGGCCTAAGTGCTTCTGGGGGATAATCTATGAAGATCACAGGTGGAACATGTCCAAAATCCCACAACCATTTAAGCGTTGAGAGATAATGGAGGTAAGGTTGTCTCAATTTTCCCACTGGGCTTCTTGGAGCAGGCTTCTTGAGGAGCAGAGGGCCTCCTAGTGAGCATGCTCACTTTTTCTGCATTCTGTGCTCTGTTCCTTCCTGCCACACATACCAGAATCAATCAATGTGTACAGGGGTTGTTACCTTCTGACAGATGTCTGGAATCAGTAGGCAGCATTGAGCTTGCTGCATGAACATAGCCACGGACGCGCAAAGCCGTGGCCACAGGTAGCCCCCACTCACCTTTGACTTCTCTTGATGTAGTTCTATCTGAATGTCTGTGAGTTTGGTCCTGAGGTCTTCATTGGCAGCTTGAAGGGCGACGATGAGTGCCTCGGGCTTCTCGCCCTTATTTCGCCCTTTCTTGGACATTTTTCCTTTCTAAGTGGAGTCTTTTGGTTTTTAATCCTCTCAAACAAGTACTGCCATGTTACTGTTTCGTATCCTGGAGTGCGATGTTTCACCATCTACTGCATGGTGCTCCTTGGTAAAGTTTCCTCAACCGCTGCCCCGAAAGCCCTAGGGAGAGGCAGAGACAGCAGTGACTTTGGTGAAGACATGGGTTCATGCCATTCATCCACTCCTAGGCAGAGCCGCCTGCAAGTGCCTGCACCCGAGGCTCTCCTGTCTCCAGAACCTCATCTGCGCTTTGTATGGCTTCACAATGGTTTCTCCAACTACCCTGGCATCTGCTGAAAATCCTTCACCTGAAGCATTTGTCTTTCACACGGCCAAGGTATCGTTTACGCTGGCACCGGCCTACTCTTCAATCTTTTCTCTATTTCACTCATTAATACTCTGGTCATGAGGGACATAGTTGTTAAAGGAAGTCACACCTATGGAGACCTCCTAACTCTCAGATATTAAACTTTAATACAATACAAATAGGCTGAATATTACTTAATGGCAAGATGTGAGCAGTGAGGAATAAGTATAAATAGATTGTTGGATTAATGAAGGTGCCCACTCAATATCGTTAGAGTTCCTTTCAAGTAGTTTGTTAGCATAATGCGTCGAAACTGAAGAAACACAGTTCTATGACAAGAAAATATATCATCTATCATCTGTCTATCTATCTACTATCTATCATCTATCTATCTATCATCTATCTACCTAGTTACTTTCTTCATCATCACTCTTATCTGTGATCTCTCTTGTAAAACAATGTCCACTAGGGGCTGGAGAGATGGCTCAGCTGTTAAGAGCACTGGCTGTTCTAGCAGAAGACTTGGGTTCAAATCCCAGCACCCACATGGCAGCTAACATCCATCTATAACTCCAATTCCAGGGGATCCAATGCCCTCTTCTGTCATCCTCAGTCACTGCATGACACAAGTGCACTTGCATACATGCATGCAATACATGCATACACATATAATTTTAAAAATGCGTACTCATTATTTCAAAAGTCTAGAAAAAGACCTTTCTGCATGGGGTGGCTAAGGAAGTGTCACAGAAGGTAGCAACCTTGGCCTGCTGATATATGAGAAGTGCTAAGATATAACCAAATGTATCTTGGTCCCAGAAAATGGAAGGTGCTGTGACAGAAAAAAGGTCATTGGTCCTATTTTTGGGGAAATGGGATCTGACTCATTACAGTCCCAAACTGTTTAGTGAGCACCAATGCTGGAAATGATAATTGGTCAGAGACTTAGAATTCCAACCTCAGAGTCTAGGGCTCCTTTTCCAGTAAGCAGTGGAGAAGCTGTTTAAGTTCCTGACAGGTGATTACCCCAGGAGGGCAGAGTTTAGATGTGGTTATTCTGGTGGAAGAGTAGGGAGAGAATGGATGCATGGAGATTAGAGAGGAGGTTGCTGAATTTGTCCAAGTGTTGAAGGCTAGTGAGAAGGATGACAAGAGGGCCAATGTGGTGCATTTTAGTTTAAATATTTCATTGGAACAAAGGGGAAAGGGGAGAAAACCATGAACACCAAACTCTTAACTGCAATGACAAAAACTTGACAAGACCCTAGAGTTTCCCTAGTCGGTGTCCGGAAAGTTGATTGATGTGTGTACTGAGGTGCTTTAGATCAGAACTAAGCAAACTCCTACTGATCATCCATATGTTCTAGCACCTGGTATTTGGCTTCAAAGATTAGAATCTTTGCTTGGTGCCACCCTTCACAAACACTCTATCTGTGCCCTTTTGTAATGTCCCTGGGGGCATGAGGCTATGAGGAGATTAGAGGCAAAGGAGAGTGAACCTAATTACCGTAGTCATGGCATGATCCATCACATTCCAGCCTGTGCTAGATGCTGGCCTGGGAGACCTCTAAAGGGCTACTTTATTCTGCTTTTAGTACTGAAATGAAATCAACAAGCACCTATAAAACATTTGTGAAATAAATACAATCAGAAAAAACAAGATTTAGTTGATCTTTTGGTTGATCTTTAAATGTTGCTGTTCTTTGACCTTTTCCAGATGATATCTACTGGCCTCACTTGTGACTCCCAGTTTATATCCAGAGCTCTAAGCATTCTACAAACCCAAGATTCAGATGAAAATTCCACTGTCTACTTCTCAAATCCACTTGAGGATCTGATTTACATCCCACATATAACATGACTAATACAGATGACTTTATTATTGGTCCCTCAAACCCTCATTCTCTTCAGAGTTTCCTTGTATCATTGATGACACTATCATAGCTGTGCCAAGTAAGCTTAGAAGTCATCCCCTTTTCTATTATATTTCTTCTCTCATCCAATTTTCTAGGAAGTCCTGTCTCCTCAACCTATAGGACACAACTTCTTTAGTCAGATCATTTCAATCCTCTAAAATGCTTTGGGGACACAGAGGAAAACAGAGCTGGGAAAAGCTTCATAATTATTTTAGTGTTGTTCATAGTCCTTCATAGCTGTATATTCTTCTTGAATAAAGAATGGATTTCTCTAAATGGGCATATGGAAAGGCAGAAGAAAGAGGTCTCTAGGTTGGTGCTTTGCATAAGTAGCTCAAGGTCAGAATTCCATAGATGTTGCCTCATGTTGACCAGAGACCTCCACACAAACAGGCCTTGGGCTTCTTCCAGAACAAGACCTTGTGCAAACAGATATCCAGCTTCTTCTGGACCAAAAACCACCATAAGAACAGGCCTAACACTTCTAAGATGAGAGAGAATGAGGGTCTAGACTTTCAGTGCCAATTGGACCAGAGACTACCTTCCATGGAGGCCTCCAGGCTCGGTAGGAACAGAGAGCACATTGTACCTAAATCTTCAGTTCAGGCAGAAGAGCACCCTGTAATTAGGTGTCTGTCTCCTACAGGACCAGATAGCACTGTGGTAACAGGCTTTTTGCTTCAGCAGGTTCAAAGAGTACCCAGCTCTGGAGTGACCTGACACCACTCTGGGACCACGTCTCAGAGGCTACTAGCCTCAGAAATCAGTGCAAGAGCTAAGCTTTGGCTCTAGTGTGTTAAGGGTCCCCTGAAACACTTGTGTTTAGCTCCAGTGGTCTGTAAGGTCAGTGGTGGTTTCGAGTTTTGACTTCTCAGGTGCCAGTGGTCACTGCAGGATTGGTAGTCTACAATGCTGTGATCCAAGAGATTACTTTGGGCCTGCTGTACTAACTACAAACCTAGAGATGGTACATAAGACTTTAGTGGATCTGATGTTTGGTGTCCTTCCCTGAATGGGTTTCCAAAATCTGTTTGTTGCCATGGGGCTTTGTGCTATTTCATCTTTGGTACTGTTAGCACAGATGAGATCACCTCAGGGATTCCATCAGACATTCAACACCAAGTTTCACCAATCCATGTGGATAAGCTTCATGCAGATATCTCTCTAAGAAGAATCACTGAAAACAAAATATCCAAATAGTTTTGGAAGAAGGGGAAATCAAGACTGAAAGACAAACCCATTTCAACAGAAGCATAATACAGGACAAAGAAACAGAATGAATATGATACAACCACTACCTAGACCCACCCCAACCAGCCAACTCCCACCTAAACCTGCCCCCAACCAGCCAACTCACACCTAGACACACCCCCAACCAACTCCCATCTAGACCCACCCAAGCCAGCCAACTCCCACCTAAACCCACCCCAAGCTAGTCAGCTCCCATCTAGACCTACCCCCCAATCAGCCAACTCCCCTATAAGAGAATTCAAAACTATAGAGTAGGTGGAAATGTTTGAGAAAAATTAAAAGTTTTACTTTTTAAAAGAATTAACAAATAAACAGATGCATGAATTTAGGAAATCTATCCAAGACCTCAACAAGACAGTCTCCCAAGTGAATGAAACAGCCAGTAAATTAGACATGAAAGTCCAAAATATGCAGGAAAAATTCAACAAGGAGATTGAAAAATTGAAAAAGAACCAAACAGAAATACTTGAAATGAAGGAAATGGTTGAGCACATAAAAACCATGATAAATGCATCATTACTAGAAAAAACCTAGCAGAGGAACCAATTTCAGGGACAGGGGACAAAGTAGAGACATTAATATGTATGGACATGAATAAGGGAGGCAGATTAAGGGACACAAATAAAATTTCCAAGAAGTCTGGGACACATTGAAAAGGCCAAAGCTGAGAGAGAATCCACGGTGGAGAAGGAGCAGAGACAAAATCAAATGGAATCGACATACTATCTATCACAATTACAGCTGAAAATTTCCCAAACTTAGAGAAAGATGTAGACATCCAAATACCAGAGGCATGTAGAGCCCCAAACAGACATAACCAAGTAAGAAAGAGTCAAGTAAGATATGTAAGTCAGTAAGTGTAATAAAACATATAAATGGACTTAAAGGCAAAAATCACAGTCATCTCAATAGATGCAGAAAAGGCCTCTGACATAATCCAACATGCATTCACGTTCAAATTCCTAGAGGGAACTGGACTGGAGGGAACATACCTCAACATAATTAAAGCTATATACAACAAACCCACTGTCAACATCATTCTAAATGGAGAAAAAATGGAAGCATTCCCATTGAAATCAGGAACCAGACAAGGCTGTCCACTATCTCCACTCCTTTTAAATATAGTGCTTGAAAGAGCTTTTAGAGCAATAAGACAAGAGAAGTAAATTAAACGAGTACTAATTGGAAAAGAAGAGGACAAACTATCACTGTTTAATGATGATATATTATACATAAGAGATCCCAAAATTCTACCAGAAAACTACTAGAAATGAATAATACCTTCAATAAAGTCACAGGTTACAAAATCAACTTACAAAAATCAAAATCAACTTACAAAAAATGTATATCCCAATAACATGCAACCAGAAAAAGCATTCAGAAACCCTACCATTCACAATAACCTCAACAAATATTTATGGATAAACCTAAACAAAGACATTAATGATGTCTACAATGAAAACTTCAAATCTTTAAAGAAAGAGATGTAAGAGACACCAGGAGATGGAAGGACCTACTGTGCTCATGAATTGGTAGAATATTGTGAAAATGGCCATGTTACCAAAAGCAGTCTATAGATTCAATGCAAAGCCAATCAAAATATCCATGGCATTCTTCACAGAGCCAGAAAAGAACTATCCTAAAAT